CGCGGAGCGGGAGCTGTGTTTACTATGCAGCCCCAGGCTCTGGGAGCCTGAGTGTCCTGTTGTGCCACACGTTACTACGGTAGGCTCTGTCCCATGGGTCCCGTATGGCAGAGAAACACGGAGGCTCTGCTCCCAGATCCCTAATTCCAGGGATTCAAAGGCGGTTTGGGCAATGCTAGCTCTAGAAATGGCATGAGGTGGTGAAATTCCCTACGCGGTGATGGTCAGGGGATGGGACAGCTAAAACAGGGGGTGAAGGGAGGGAGGGAGAAAGGTGCTCAGCCAAAAGCAGTCAGGTCATGGAAATATAAAGATAGAACCATTTTCATGGAAGCATGGAGTTCCGGCCTGGTTGGGATGAAGGGAGCTTAAAGCTCCTCCAGCTCCAACCCCAACCCCTTCCACTGCAGCAGCTTGCTCCAAGCCCCTGTGTCCAACCTGGCCTTGAGCACTGCCAGGGATGGGGCAGCCACAGCTTCTCTGGGCACCCTGTGCCAGCGCCTCAGCACCCTCCCAGGGAAGAGCTTCTGCCTCAGAGCTCATCTCAGTCTCCCCTCGGGCAGGTTCAAGCCATTCCCCTTGGCCTGTCCCTACAGGCCCTTGTCCCAAGCCCCTCTCCAGGTTTCCTGCAGCCCCTTCAGGCACTGGAGCTGCTCTAAGATCTCCCCTTCAGGAGCCTTCTCTTCTCCAGGCTGACCAAGCAACACTCTCATCCTGTCCATCTTCCCCACAAGCACCTTCTCAGCACCAACACCACTTGTAACGTTTCCAGCCAGCCCTTTCAGCTGGGGAGCTGATAAACAGGTCACAAGAGCTCCAACAGGGAGCCGTGTTTTCCTGCTCCTCAACCCAGCTCAGCTCTTTGTTTAATCCACCTCACACACTCCTACCCCTGCTCTAAGTGCTTTGGACACGGCCCAAGGCTGGAAGATTCCTGCCTGGAAGTTGCAGAAAGTCGAGACCAAAACCAGAGGCGGGCAGAGAATTCCTCGCTTGTGCTGCTATGGGGATGCTGCAGCTTGGGAGATTTTAGAGCTCTTCTGGGATCTCTGTAAGTGCTCCCCTTTACTCATGGAATCAACTGGGTTGGAAAAAAACCTTTAGGATCATCCAGTCCAACCGTTCCCCACCACTAACCCATGGCACTGAGGCCTCGTCTCCATGGTGTGTGAACACCCGCAGGGCCAGTGCCCTGGGCAGCCTGTTCCAATGCCTGAGCACCCTCTGGGGCAGGAATTGTTCCTCAGCTCCATCTAAACCTGCCCTGGTGCAGCTTGAGGCCGTTTCCTCTTGTCCCATCCCTTGTTCCTTGGGAGCAGAGCCCAGCCCCTCCTGGCTCCATCCTCCTCTCAGGCACTTGGAGGCAGCCATCAGGTCCCCCCTGAGCCTTCTCTTCTCCACACTGAACCCCCCAGCTCCCTCAGCCCTTCCCCATCACACTTGGGCTCCAGGCCCTGCTCCAGCTCCGTTCCCTTCTCTGGCCCCGCTCCAGCACCTCAAGGTCTCTCTTGCAGTGAGGGGCCCAGAGCTGAGCACAGGATTCGAGGTGCAGCCTCCCCAGTGCCCAGCACAGGGGCCCAATCCCTGCCCTGCTCCTGCTGCTGCACTGGTGCTGGTGCAGCACCAGGATGCTGGGGGCTTCTTGGCTGCCTGGGCACAAGCTGCTCCTGCTCAGCTCCAGCAGCTCCTTTTCCACGAGCAGCTTCCCAAGCCTGCAGCGTTCCATGGTGGCTCAAGCGCAGGACCCAGCACTGAGCCCTGTTGGAGCTCAGGCAATGGGTCCAGCCTGGCCACATCCCTCTGCAGAACCTCCAGCAGAGCAACTCCCCCTCCACCTGCTGTCATCTACAAAGTGACTGGGGGTGGCCTCAATGCCCCCATCCAGACCATCAATGAAGATACCAAACACCATCCCTGGGGGCCACCACCAGTGAGCAAGCTGATGGGACCCCCTTCAGCACTGCTCTCCGGGCTCTGCCATGCAGCCAGGCCTTTCCCCAGCAAGGAAGCCAGCCAGCCAGGCCAGGAGCAGCCAGTTCCTCCAGGAGAGCACTGCAGGACACAGCATCCATGCTCTACTGAGGGCCACCCGATGGGGTGATGGTGCAGAAGAACCCAAAGCCCCGCTCTGCTGCTCTCTGCCCTTGCCATCACACCATGCTTGCAGAGCATCGGTGGTGAGAAGCTTCCTCCATCCCCAACGCCTTCACTCCTGCCACCCAAACCCCAGCTCAGTGAACACACCACAACTTGTGAGGTCCGTGAGGCTGAATCCGGGCACCACCAGCGGCATTCCCATGTTGTTCCATGGGCTCTGGGACCGCACCAGCATCCCCGGTGTGCCCTGGGGCAACCACGGCACCTTCCCCCTGCACTTTGATCCCATGGATTAACTCCAGTTCCTTCCTGCTGCAGCACAGCCTGAGGTGCTCAATGAGCACTTCCAGCTCCAAGAAGCCACCATCTACTATCAAAGAGCTTGGGTCTCCTGTGCACCAGCCCCTCCAGGTAAAGCTTTCCCTGCTGTGCAGCCAGGATTGCTCCATCCTCCTCCCAACGCTGCTCCACTTCACTCCTAAAGATCCCCAAGACTGGAGCAGCACCGGACCAGATCCATCAGAGCCCTCTCAGCATTCCAGTCACCATTCCCATGTCAACTCCCCAATCCTGGGAGCCAAGCCTTCATGGGAAAGCCTACCTGTAGGCATAGGCAGGACCTGCCCACCTCCACAGAGCACCCATGAAGCAGCAGCACAGCTCTCCCATTAAATCTTTCCACCTGTATTCCCGCAGCTAGCCAGCAATTCCCTCTGCTCCCAAACCCAGATGGGATTGGGTATCCCCAGGCATACCCATTTCCTAATGCTTTTCAAAGCAAACTGCATGAAAGCATCCAAACTGAGGTTATTCCTAAGCCAGAGCAGTTCCATTTGGTCCCAGCACCATCACTAGACAGTTTCATGCACGGAGAAGTGGGATTATTCCAGGGTTTTTCAAGGAAGGATGCAATATGTGGGAGTCAGAGGGCATCCAGGCAGGAATTCACTTTACAACCCACCTTCCTAGTGAGGATCCCATTGCTTTGGCAGCGTCACAGCCAGCTCAGAGCAGAGCCCCCTCTGCTCCGAGGGCCTCAACACCGCTCCCACCATCCTGCTTCTCCCAACACGGCAGGAATAATTCCTTGGAACAGAAGATTCCTCCCCCTCCGCTCCTCTCCAGCCCTCCAGGAGCTCACGGGGATTCCCTTCCTCCATGTGCTTTGCTCCCAGTTCACGTCTTCCCTCTTAGTTCATTCCAGCTTCCCTCCTTGGCTGCTCCACAGCAGTTTCTAACCTCCAAGCATCCACGTCCATGGCTGCTCTCCCGCATCCCTGAATCCTCCAAAACCTCCTTTCCCAACAGCCACGCACTCTCCTTCTCCATCACTTCTTCCTGAGGTTCCCAGGCAACCCCAAGGTGGGAGAAGGTGGCACCTTGGGCATGACCCTGACCACAGCTTTGGTGCTCTGGGTCCCTTCCCTGTGCCGTTCCCTCGCAGAGCCTCTTCCTGCTGGGATTTCTCACTTCTCCAACCAGGATGATGCTCTCCCTCCTTCCATCCTCACTCATCACTTCCCTAGCAAAGGCTCTGCTCCAGACCCTGCCTCCCCTTCCCAAACACTGGGTGCCAGGGGAAGGTGTCCCTACCCATGGCAGGGGATTGGAACTGGAGGAGCTTTAAGCTCCCTTCCAACCCAAGCCACTTCTATATGGAAATCCACCAGGATTTAGGACCATTCCTGGTGGATTCTCCCCATAGAAACTCCTCCATGCTGGCCCACACCTTCCCGGGCGCATCTTCTCCTTCAACTCAACGCGTTCACACCCCTCCATGGGTCCCTCCATAGTAACGGGTCCAGGTCCCGTTAAGGAGCTGGCTGCTGCTGCTTCCAGTGCTTTTCCCACCGGGAAGCGGGGACGTGCAGCCTCTCACCTGGTTGAACTCCTCATCGGCGTAGATATCGATCAGATCCACCCCCTCCGACATCCTTCCAGAGGCGGGAGCAGAGCAGGAGCCCGGGCTGGGACCGGGAGGTCGGGATGAGCACTGCAGCGACGAGCAGGAGAGGGGGGGAAGCCCATCAGCGACCCCCTCTGTGCCCCACACTTCTCCCTATGGGATTGGGGTCCCCCCTATTCCCTGCAGCACCCCTTTAACGGGACAGACCCCACCTCGACCCCCGGGGGGGGGGGCAATTCGGGTCCCCCCTATTCCCTGCAGCACCCCTTTAACGGGACAACCCCACCTCGACTACGGGGGGGGGAATTCGGGTCCCCCCTATTCTTTGCAGCACCCCTTTAACGGGACAGACCCCACCTCGACCCCCGGGGGGGGGGGTCCCCCTATTCCCTGCAGCACCCCTTTAACGGGGCAAACCCCACCTCGACTATGGGGGGGGGCGACTGGGGTCCCCCCTATTCCATGCAGCACCCCTTTAACGGGACAAACCCCACCTCGACCCCCGGTGTGGGGGGGGAAGGCAACGTGGTCCCGTTACACCCCAACCTCCCCCACACCAGGGGGCGACCACCACCACCGCCGCCCCCCTCCCATCCTCTCCCCACACCCCCTCTCTATGGTACCCCACACCCCCTCCTCACACACTGAGGCCTCCCCCCCCACAACAACCGGGGCCGAGACCGCCATAACGGGCCGGGCGGGGGGAGAGGAAGAGGTGGAACCGGAGGGGGGGGTAACGAAAAGGGGGGAGGGTCGGGTCGGTTCCGTTCCCCCTCCCCCATCCCGGTTCCCTCCCCCCCCCCCCCCCCCGTTTCCGCCCGCAGGCCCCGAGCGCGCGCGCTCAACCGCGCTCACCGCCACCGCCAGCGCCGCCGCGCCACGCCACGCCCCTTCCGGCTCTGGACACGCCCCCTTCCGCCCCGCCCCTGTTTGAGGGATCATAGAGTTGGTCCTCCCGGTCGTATAGAGCGGCGACAGCGGGAGGGTGGAGGGAGACATGGCGGCCGCCGGGGTGAGCGGGGACGTGGGGGTGAAGGGAGGCCTGTAGGGGCAGGAAGGGGGATAGGGGGGGATCAAGGGGTCGGGGTCATAGAGGGGCCGGGGGTAGGAAGGGCAAGGGGGTTATAAATGGGGCTGAGCGTTTGGAGGGGGGTGTATGGAGGGATATATGGGTGGTTGGGGGGTGTATGGAGGGATATATGGGTGGTTGGGGGGTGTATGGAGGGATACATGGGTGGTTGGGGGTGTATGGAGGGATATATGGGTGGTTGGGGGTGTATGGAGGGATATATGGGTGGTTGGGGGTGTATGGAGGGATATATGGGTGGTTGGGGGTGTATGGAGGGATATATGGGTGATTGGGGGTGTATGGAGGGATATATGGGTGATAGGGGGTGTATGGAGGGATATATGGGTGATTGGGGGTGTATGGAGGGATATATGGGTGGTTGGGGATGTATGGAGGGATATATGGGTGGTTGGGGGGTGTATGGAGGGATACATGGGTGGTTGGGGGTGTGTGGAGGGATATATGGGTGGTTGGGGGTGTATGGAGGGATATATGGGTGGTTGGGGGTGTATGGAGGGATATATGGGTGGTTGGGGGGTGTATGGAGGGATATATGGATGGTTGGGGGTGTATGGAGGGATATACGGGTGGTTGGGGATGTATGGAGGGATATATGGGTGATTGGGGGTGTATGGAGGGATATATGGGTGGTTGGGGGGTGTATGGAGAGATATATGGGTGGTTGGGGGTGTATGGAGGGATATATGGGTGGTTGGGGGTGTATGGAGGGATACATGGGTGGTTGGGGGTGTATGGAGAGATATATGGGTGGTTGGGGGTGTATGGAGAGATATATGGGTGGTTGGGGGTGTATGGAGGGATATATGGGTGGTTGGGGGTGTAAGAGAGTCTGGGGAGGTTCTGTAGGGGAGTGAGGTGGGGGGGAGGTGGGTCTGAGGGGGTTATATGGGGGGGTTATATGGAGGGTTACATGTGGGGTTATATGGAGGGATACATGTGGGGTTATATGGAGGGATACATGTGGGATTATATGGAGGGATACATGTGGGGTTATACAGAGGGTTACGTGTGAGGTTATACGGAGGGTTACATGTGGGGTTATATGGAGGGTTATGTGTGGGGTTATATGTGGAGTTATAAGGGGGGTTATATGGAGAGTTATATGTGGGGTTATACGGAGGGTTATATGGGGGGTTATATGGAGGGTTATGTGTGGGGTTATACACAGGGTCTGGGGCATATATGTGGGGTTATATAGGTGGTCGGGGGGGGACACAAAAGTATTTGGGGGCTTATATGTGGGATCGGGGACTGTAGGATCTGGGGGGGATTTTATAGGAGTTTGGGGGGGCAGGAGGGTCTGGGGGGTTATATTGGGGTTTAGGGGGGCAGGAGGGTCTAAGGGGTTCTAGATGGGGGTCAGGGGCAGTATATAGGGGGATTATATGGGGGACCAGGAGGGTGTTAGGTAGGGGTTCAGGGACAGCAAGGTATGGGGGGGGGTGGGACCAGCAGGGTTGAGGAGACTGGAAGCAGCATCTGGGGAGTTTCTATGGGAGATCAGGGGGGCAAGAGGGTCTGTGGGGTTCTAGATGGAGGCTTGGAGGTCAGGTGTCTGGGGGGCTTCTGTGGAGGTTGGGGGGGGGCAGCAGGGGCTGGGGCTTTATAAGGTGGGGTGGAGCAGGAGGGGTTATATGAGGGTGTTGAGGGCAGCATTTAGGGGGTTATATGGGGGTTTAGGGGGGCAGGAGGGTCTGGGGGTTACAGATGGGGGGTCAGGGGTGGCATTTAGGGGGTTATATGGAGGGTTGGGGGGTCTGAGGGAAAGCATGTAGGATGGGGGGGATTAGATGGGAGATGGGGAGGGCAAGAGGTTCTGGAGGGTTATAGATGGGGGATTGATGAGGGATTATATGGGAGGCCATGGGAGCAGCAGGGCTTTATGGGATGGGGGTCACGGCCAGCAGGGTTTGGGGGGGTCTGTGTGTGCGGGGACAACCAGGCCTGACGTCCCCTGCACCATCCCTGTCCCTCTCACAGCTCTGCTCCCTGCCCGGGAGGGCTCTGTGCCGGCGGTGCCTGGGCCCGGCGCTGCTGCAGCGCGGCTACCGAGGGGACTCCCCGTCGGAATCCGGGAAGGATTTGCTGGAGATCCCATTGCCCCCATGGCAGGAGCGTCCGGACGAGCCCCTGGAGACCAAGAGAGCCCGGCTGCTCTATGAGAGCCGCAAGAGGGGGATGCTGGAGAACTGCATCCTGCTCAGGTGGGCTGCGGGCTGCTCGTCCTCCAGCCCTGCTCCTTGGGTCTGCCCTGTCCCCAGGGTGCCCTGACACTTTGTGCCCTGCAGATAGGGCCAGGGATGAGAGAATCGGCCCTGGAGAGCTGAGGGGGAAAAGCTGCTTGAGGTGAGCTCTAGTTCAGCTCCCTGAAGGTGTCTCTGAAGGTTTTTAGGTAACATTGGCACTGGGGAGGCTGCACCTCGAATCCTGTGCTCAGCTCTGGGCCCCTCACTGCAAGAGAGACCTTGAGGTGCTGGAGTGGGGCCAGAGAAGGGAACGGAGCTGGAGCAGGTCCTGGAGCCCAAGTGTGATGGGGAAGGGTTGAGGGAGCTGGGGGGTTCAGTGTGGAGAAGAGAAGGCTCAGGGGGGCTGCCTCCAAGTGCCTGAGAGGAGGATGGAGCCAGGAGGGGCTGGGCTCTGCTCCCAAGGAACAAGGGATGGGACAAGAGGAAACAGCCTCAAGCTGCCCCAGGGCAGGTTTAGATGGAGCTGAGGAACAATTCCTGCCCCAGAGGGTGCTCAGGCATTGGAACAGGCTGCCCAGGGCACCAGTCCTGCGGGTGTTCACACACCGTGGAGACGAGGCCTCAGTGCCATGGGTTAGTGGTGGGGAACGGTTGGACTGGATGATCCTAAAGGTCTTTTCCAACCCAGTTGATTCCAGGATTCCATGAAGAGCCCTGAGCGTTGTAGCAAAGTGTTTGGTGGGGTGCTCAGTGCACAGCTGGAATCCAGACCTCGGGAGATGGGATGTTGCTTGGAGGATGGCCGCTGACCTGTTGGACCGATCACTGCAAGAGCTTTGCTCTGGTCCATGCTGGATGCAGTGGTCAGTGCTGCAGGACAGGGTGAGGCAGAGCCAGAGGCATGTGAGGAAGCTCCTGGCTGATGTTTGAGCCAAAATCCTTCAGGAAGGATGCATGCAATCCTTTGGGATGTACAGACCAGGCACGGCCGGTTGTGTTTTGGGACTTGAGGAGTGTTTAATGGAGAGGAAGTCCTTTGGCCCAGCTCCTTCATGTCTTCCAGCACCGTGCTGGGTGCTGGGTGCCAGCCTGGCTCTTCTTCCCGTCATCCCAATGCATCCTCCCCCATCCTCTCTGCAGCCTCTTTGCAAAGGAGAACCTGCACCACATGAGTGAGCACCAGCTGAACCTCTACGACCGCCTCATCAATGAGCCCAGTAACGACTGGGACATCTACTACTGGGCCACAGGTACGGAGCAACTCCCTCCCGCCCTGCCCTGCCCGTCCCATCGCTGGTGGGATGAGTGTGGGTGCCTCGGGAGAGGACACAGCCCTTCCTTTACTGCCCTTTCCTCTTGGTACCCCAGAAGCAAAGCCCACCCCGGTGGAGTTTGAGAGCGAGGTGATGGCCAAGCTGCGGGACTTCGCCAAGAACAAGAACAGGGAGCAGAGGCTGCGGCAGCCGGACCTGGAATACCTCTTTGAGCCCCCCCGCTCACAACAGTGATGCTGCTGCCCTCCCTGGGGCCTTCCTCCTCCTCCTTTTCCTCCTCCAGCAGCTCCTTTGAACTCTCAGGTTGTGCTGAATAAAGCTGTGGCTGCTCCTGGCTGCACTGTGAGCTCAGGGCTCTGCTCTTTGGCAGCGTTCAGGAGGGAGGTGGTGGAATTCCACGTGCCAGCTCATTGCTGTCCCTTTGAAACCCCTTTTGGGGGGGACCTGGGGGAGGTTGGAGTGGGGCATCCTGCTCCTCGGTGCCCTCAGTGGGGTGGCACAGCGACAGTGGAACCCAAGCAGCGGTGGCATTGTGTGGCCGAGCCGTTACTAGGAGACACTGTCCCCAGGAGACGCTGTCCCCATCATAACGTCCCCTTCCACGAGAGCATTCCGTAGCCTCCAGACCTTCTGCTCAGCAGGGAGCTGCTCTCCAGAAGAGCTGCACCATGGAGGATGCTTGTCCCTTTGCCTGTCACTGCATCGAGCTGCAGTCCACGGGGATGGACACTCTGTCCCCTTCAGAGAAGGCACTCACCGGGGGGAGCTCCGACCTCATGGACTTCTATGCCACAAACTACCCCGTGGCTCATGGTAGGGGGGCCCAAAACCTTCCCTAAAAGTGGAGTGGGCTCATTCCCAAAGCTCATCCCTCTTTCCCTGCTGTCACCCAGGCCAGCCAGGCTTCTGTCCCCAGCTTGGCCACCACACAGGCACTGGCTACGTGACCGACAACCACTCAGCCATGTCCTGCCTGCTGCGCCCACACAGTGAAGCAGAGGGGTAGGTACCTTTGCCTATGGGTTGTGGGGGGGGGGGACGACAAAGAGGACAAGTTTCGGGGCCGCTCCATCACATCCATGTGGCTTCCCACTGCAGCCACTGCCAGGATGCCATGGCCACCACTGCTGAGCACTTCAAGCCCCTCTGGCTTCCCAATGGCAGGAGCATCCTGCCCTGCCACATCCACGAGCCACAGAGTGGGTACCTGCAGGAGTGCCCCCCTTCCCGCCTCCGTGCGGGGATGGTGAGTCCCCAGCACATGAGGCTCCAGCAGAGACGGCCCAGACTAAGGGAGAACCGCTGCACCGATCCTCTCCAGCCAGGTATGGATTTGGGGTGCTGGTGGTCCCTGGACAAGCTCCATCCCCAGGGCGGTTTAGGGGTGTTGATGATTCCGGGGCCAGCTCCATCCCCAAGAGGGTTTTGGGGTGCTGGTCATCTTGGGGTCAGCTCCATCCACATGGGGGTTTGGGGTGTTGGTGGCCCAGGGATCAGCTCCATCCCCATGGGGATTTAGGGTGTTGGTGGTCCTGGGATCAGCTCCATCCCCATGGGGATTTAGGGTGTTGGTGGTCCTGGGATCAGCTCCATCCCCATGGGGACTTAGGGTGTTGGTGGTCCTGGGATCAGCTCCATCCCCATGGGGATTTGGGGTGTTGGTGGCCCAGGGATCAGCTCCATCCCCATGGGGATTTGGGGTGTTGGTGGTCCTGGGAACAGCTCCATCCCCACGGGGATTTGGGGTGTTGATGGTTCCAGGACCAGCTCCATCCCCATGGGGATTTAGGGTGTTGGTGGCCCAGGGATCAGCTCCATCCCCATGTGGATTTAGGGTGTTGGTGGTTCCAGGACCAGCTCCATCCCCACGGGGATTTAGGGTGTTGGTGGTCCTGGGATCAGCTCCATCCCCACGGGGATTTGGGGTGTTGATGGTTCCAGGACCAGCTCCATCCCCATGGGGATTTAGGGTGTTGGTGGCCCAGGGATCAGCTCCATCCCCATGTGGATTTGGGGTGTTGGTGGATCCAGGACCAGCTCCATCCCCACGGGGATTTAGGGTGTTGGTGGCCCAGGGATCAGCTCCATCCCCATGGGGATTTAGGGTGTTGGTGGTCCTGGGGTCAGGTCCATCCCCATGGGGATTTAGGGTGTTGGTGGTCCTGGGATCAGCTCCATCCCCATGCGGATTTGGGGTGTTGGTGGATCCAGGACCAGCTCCATCCCCACGGGGATTTAGGGTGTTGGTGGTCCTGGGATCAGCTCCATCCCCATTTGGGATTTAGGGTGTTGGTGGCCCAGGGATCAGCTCCATCCCCACGGGGATTTAGGGTGTTGGTGGCCCAGGGATCAGCTCCATTCCCATGGGGATTTAGGGTGTTGGTGGTCCTGGGGTCAGGTCTATCCCCATGGGGTTTTAGGGTGTTGGTGGCCGTGGGATCAGCTCCATCCCCATGGGGATTTAAGGGTGTTGGTGGCCCAGGGATCAGCTCCATCCCCATGGGGATATAGGGTGTTGGTGGTCCTGGGGTCAGGTCCATCCCCATGGGGTTTTAGGGTGTTGGTGGTCCTGGGATCAGCTCCATCCCCATGGGGATTTGGGGTATTGGTGGTCCTGGGATCAGCTCCATCCCCATGCGGATTTGGGGTGTTGGTGGATCCAGGACCAGCTCCATCCCCACGGGGATTTAGGGTGTTGGTGGTCCTGGGATCAGCTCCATCCCCATTTGGGATTTAGGGTGTTGGTGGCCCAGGGATCAGCTCCATCCCCACGGGGATTTAGGGTGTTGGTGGCCCAGGGATCAGCTCCATTCCCATGGGGATTTAGGGTGTTGGTGGTCCTGGGGTCAGGTCTATCCCCATGGGGTTTTAGGGTGTTGGTGGCCGTGGGATCAGCTCCATCCCCATGGGGATTTAAGGGTGTTGGTGGCCCAGGGATCAGCTCCATCCCCATGGGGATATAGGGTGTTGGTGGTCCTGGGGTCAGGTCCATCCCCATGGGGTTTTAGGGTGTTGGTGGTCCTGGGATCAGCTCCATCCCCATGGGGATTTGGGGTATTGGTGGTCCTGGGATCAGCTCCATCCCCATGCGGATTTGGGGTGTTGGTGGATCCAGGACCAGCTCCATCCCCACGGGGATTTAGGGTGTTGGTGGTCCTGGGATCAGCTCCATCCCCATTTGGGATTTAGGGTGTTGGTGGCCCAGGGATCAGCTCCATCCCCACGGGGATTTAGGGTGTTGGTGGCCCAGGGATCAGCTCCATTCCCATGGAGATTTAGGGTGTTGGTGGTCCTGGGGTCAGGTCTATCCCCATGGGGTTTTAGGGTGTTGGTGGCCCAGGGATCAGCTCCATCCCCATGGGGATTTAGGGTGTTGGTGGTTCCAGGACCAGCTCCATCCCCATGGGGATTTAGGGTGTTGGTGGTCCTGGGGTCAGGTCCATCCCCATGGGGTTTTAGGGTGTTGGTGGTCCCGGGATCAGCTCCATCCCCATGGGGATTTAGGGTGTTGGTGGTCCTGGGGTCAGCTCCATCCCCATGGGGATTTGGGGTGTTGATGGTTGCAGGACTAGCTCCATCACCAAGAGGGTTTTGGAGTGCCAGTGGTCCCAAGACCAGCTCCAACTTGAGGGTGTTTTGGGGCATTGGTGGATCTTTGACCCCAAGGAGGGTTTGGGGACCCCCTGACCTGTATCACCCATCCCTGTGCATCCCCAAACACAAGGGTTCCCCCAGGCCCTGTGACACCAGTTAATGCCATGGCATGGACACTCTTGGGGACAGGACTGGAGACAATGGGACTCCCTCCCTGCCCTCCTGCTCCCCACAGATACCCTGCAGAAGGTCACCCTTGGCACCAAGGAGCCATCAGGCTTCACCAAAGGCACCAAGAGGACCGACTCCTTCCTGCCACCTCTGCCAATCCAGCAGGGCCAGCCCGTGAGCACCCTATGGGACACTTCTCTCCCTCCCAGTCCCCTCCACCCCCATTTGCACCCCATGGGACACTTCTTCTCTCCCCACAGCTCGGCGTCAGCCTCACCACAAGGGATTGCCTGCCCTCTGTGCGCAGCCATGTAAGTGGGGCGAGGGGATGGGGTGACGAGGGTACCCCCCACGGAGGTGTCATCACCCCCTTATCCCCTTCCATCCTCCTGCAGGGCAATGAGACGCTCCCAACACTGCCACCAGGCTCCAAGCGAGGCAGCGGCTTCACCCGGGAGGGACGGAGCTGCCTGGGCAGGGTGGTGAGCAGGATCCCATCCCGTTGTCCATCCCCATCCCTCTGTGTCCTCCTCATCCTCACCCGCTGTCCCTACACAGGTCTTGCCCACGCTGGGACACTCAGCATCCCTCGTCTCCCGAGGGCTGGAGGCAACCCGAGAGACCCAGGCCAGGCTGCTGGGCCGGCAGGCTGCTGGCAGGATGATGGGTGCGTGGTCCCATCCCTATCCCCATCCTCATCCCCATCCTCATCCCATGGGAACACGTTCCCAACTTGCCTCCATCCCACAGGAACCATCAGGGTACACCACTAACTATGGCCAATACGTGACCAGCTGCCTAACCCCATCCCCTGCAGCTCCAGGTGAATTTGGGGTGGCCATGGGGGGTGGTGGTGGTTTGCAGCCCCCAAAGAGGGGGTTCCAGCTTTACCACCCCATCCATGATATTCCAGCCTGGGATGCAACCTGGATAGCGAGACCCATTGGTGGAATCCAGCCCCAGCATCCCAGCGGCTTCAGCACCAACAACCACCCCACAGGGCTGGGGGACGTCATTGACCACCTCCTGGTGTGATGCCCCCCGTTGCCCCATCTTTAGGAGTAACCCCAGCTTCATTGTTGATCCCCAAATCCCTGGAAGTTCCCTTTCTTCCCACGTGGAGGAATAAAGACTGCAAAGCAACCTTCTTGGGCGTAACTCCATTGGCATTGTCACTCCCATAGAGGGGTGGTGGCATCGTTTGGGGGGGCTGCCTGCACCCCAAAGGTGAGCAGGAGGATCTGGGCCGGGGGGGGGGGGGAACTGGAGGTGCTGTGTGGCCGACAGCCACTGGAGGGCTGTATGAGCCCGGCTTATCCGAGCTGCCTTTGGGATGACACAGCTGATTTCAGGCAGGGAAAAGCAGGCAAGGCTGGCTGGGGTGGGCAGCGAGAGGAGGAGGAAGGTGGCAGCTGTGCCATGGGGTTGTCACTTGCGGGCTTCATCCGTGCCCTCCATGGCCTTGGGGCACTAACAAGGCTTCGTGGGGTGGGAAATGGCACCGAGGGGGTGCAGCAGCACCCAGGGGTGCCAGGGGGTGTGGGTGATAACAGAAGGATGCCCCCCACCCACCCATAGCCTGGTACCCAGGGAGGTGCTGAGCCTGATGGAGGGACCCAGCAAGGGAAGGGGCAACGTGGGCACAGGCAGATGATGGACAGGGAGCTAGGAGAGGGGAGCAAGGTGCTGCTGCTGCCTGGGGTGGGGACAGGCAGGAGTGAGGCAGAGCAGAGGCAGGGCAGAGCAATGGTGGGGCAGGGTGAGGTACAGGCAGGGGGTGACAGAGCAATGGTGGTGCAGAATGGGGTACAAGAAGGGCACAGGCAGGGCAGAGCAATGGTGGGGCAGAGTGAGGTACAGGCAGGGGGTGACAGAGCAATGGTGGTGCAGAATGGGTACAAGAAGGCCACAGGCAGGGCAGAGCGATGGGGCAGGGTGAGGTACAGGTAGGGAGGGGCAGGGTACATGCAGGGCATGACAGAGCAATGGTGGCACAGAATGGGGTACAAGAAGGGCACAGGCAGGGAGGGGCAGCGTAGAGGAAGGGCATGAGAGAGCAATGGTGGCCCAGGGTGAGGTACAGGCAGGGCATGACAGCAATGGTGGTGCAGGATGGGGTACAAGAAGGGCAGAGGCAGGGCAGAGCAATGGTGGGGCAGGGTGAGGTACAGGCAGGGGGTGACAGAGCAATGGTGGTGCAGAATGGGGTACGAGAAGGGCACAGGCAGGGCAGAGGAATGGTGGGGCAGGGTGAGGTACAGGCAGGGGGTGACAGAGCAATGGTGGTGCAGAATGGGGTACAAGAAGGGCACAGGCAGGGTGAGGTACAGGCAGGGAGGGGCAGTGTAGAGGCAGGGCAGAGCAATGGTGGGGCAGGGTGAGGTACAGGCAGGGCATGACAGCAATGGTGGCACAGAATGGGGTACAAGAAGGGCACAGGCAGGGTGAGGTACAGGCAGGGCATGACAGCAATGGTGGCACAGAATGGGGTACAAGAAGGGCACAGGCAGGGCAGAGCAATGGTGGGGCAGGGTAGAGGCAGGGCAAAGCAACGGTGGCCCAGGGTGAGGTACAGGCAGGGCGATGATGGCCCCGAGAGGTACAGGCAGGGCCCTCGGGGGGGGGGGGGCGTGGCATCCCGGGGGTGGGGGCGTGGCCTCGGCGCAGGTATCCCCGCCTTCCCATTGGCGTTGCCGTGGCGACGGCGTTGCCCTCGTTGCGATGGGCAGCGGCGGCTCCGCGGGCCGCGGGGCTCGGGCGGCCGTGGCCGAGGGCCCGGACGGGGCTGAGCAGCGGGTGCCGGTGCGGGCAGGCCGGGTCCCGGCCGGGCTTTGGGCGCAGCGGGAGCTGCGGAAGCTTTACCTGAGCGGGGCCGGGCTGCGGGACGTGCCCGCCGAGCTGGCGGCGCTCCGGCACCTCCGCACGCTGGCGCTGGACGGCAACGAGCTGATGGAGGTGCCCGAGGCTCTGTGCCGCTTGCCCTGCTTAGCGCATCTCTACCTGGGCCGCAACGGGCTGCAGGGGCTGCCGCCAGCCTTCGCCCGCCTGCAGAGCCTGCGCTGCCTGTGGCTGGAGGGCAACTTCCTGGCCCGCTTCCCCACGGCCCTCCTACGCCTCCCCGAGCTCCGCAGCCTGCAGCTGGGGGACAACCGCTTGTCCCGGCTGCCCGCGGCGCTGCCCCGCATGGCCGGGCTGCGGGGGCTCTGGCTCTACGGGAACCGCTTCGAGGAGTTCCCCCCGGCGCTGCTGCGCATGGGGCAGCTCCGCGTCCTCGACCTGGATCGCAACCGCATCGCCCGCTTCCCCGACCTCAGCGGCCTCGCCGCCCTGCGCCTCTTCTCCTACGACCACAACCCCGTGCAGCGGCCGCCCCACGTCGGGGATGCCGTGAGGCTGGTGGGGAACGGGGCGCAGGAGTTCATGGAGGCGCGGCAGGAGCGCCTGGAGAGCCTCCAGCGCCAAGAGGAAGAAGAGGAGGAAGGCGCCGAGGCCCCACCGGTGGCTCCCCGCGATGGGTCGCCGCTGCTGGAGGACGGGGAGGGTGGATGCGCAGCCCTGCCGGGCTCCCCAGGGGAAACGTGAGCCGCCGCGCTGCAGCCGGACACCCGTAGGGAAGCACCGCGGAGGGATGCGCAGCCCCGGGCAGGCTCCCAAGGACCAGCATCTCCCAGCTGGGGCTGGGGAAGAAGGAAGCTCACGGCCTCCATGCAATGAAAACAGCCCCAGCATCAGCATCTCCCTTGGGACGGCAAAGAGCTGTCTCATGGTTCTACATTGGGATCCACAAACGCACCTTGGAGCATCCCGTTAACCACAGCGTGCCTTGGATGGGGGAAGCAGCCGTCTGCCCTGATGGGTGACCCCATGGACCCCACTACCTGCCTACGGGTGGGCAGCAAGGTGCTGCTGAGAGCTGGGCATCTCCACGGACATGGGGACCTTCTGCAGCCACCGCAACACCCCCATGGGCATCCTTTGCTCCCGGCTCTGTGGGGCAGGACAGGTAAAGCAGCGCTGTTTGCACCCGATCTGTGGACCCCATCGACCTGAAGAGCAGCAAGGTTGAAGAGCAAGCGCATGGACCCCTTTTCACCCCCAATCCCTCATCCTGCTGCTGGAATTGGGATGGGGAGAGAGTGAACTCCCTGCTGGGGTCCTCCTGGGCCTGTCTTAAGCCTGGAAAGGGTTTTACCTCGGTACAGGAAAAGGAGCCCCAGCTCCAGCTCTGTCTGCCCCAAAACGGGCACCAAAGCCAGGGCCTGCCTCCTCGTCCTTCCTCTTCCCTTCCCTGAGTGCTCTTTGTACTAAATTCAAGCAATAAAAAGCACAAACCCAAGGAAACCTGGTGTGAGAGGCAGGGCATGGGCCCGTTCTGTGGGATAGGGTCTGTTTAGGACCCACTTGGAATACAGCAGCCCCTCCTTGTGCAGGAGCCCCTCTTGTTGCTGGCATCGAAGGGAGCTCTGCTTCCCTCTGCCTGTCTCCAAGCCGCAGCAGGAGCTCAGCCACACCAGCACCATTGGGAGGGCTGGAGGTTCCAGACCATGCATCCGCTGGTGATCACAAGGGGGTTTGGGGTTGGTGGCTGGGAGGCAGCCAATGCTCCCACCACATCCTCTCCCATGCCGATGGGACGGATGCTGCTGGGCTCTCGCCCTCCCCGCCTGCTCTGTGGTGGAACCACAGCTATTTCGGATGTGCTGGAGCAGCCGCATCCAGGCCGGTGCCAGCCCCTCCGGCAGCAGAGGCTGATGGAGCCCCTGACTTCCCAGCAGCAAGGTGGCCCCGTTCTCAATCCCACTTCAGGATGCTGCATCTGGCAGGTCTTATCCTCCAAATCCAGGTCCAGATACAGGCTCTTGATCCCTGTTGCCATCCAAGCAGCCTTCACTGCTGTGGGTGGGAGTGGGCATGGGGCACCCCCAGCCCCATGTGTGGCACCCTGGGGTGCTGACACAGCAATGGGGGGTTCCCGGACCTCGGGGTCATGCCATAGATCCTGGGGTGCATCACCCCAAGGAGCGCTGGTGTTGGCAGAGGCTCCAAGCTCCAGCTATAAGATGGGAGTTCCTGCATTCCACATCCCTCCTGCTCCCACCACCTCCATGCAGACCCTTATCAAGCAGTCCATGCTTGCAGGGCGAGGGTAAAGACAGCCTGGGTACCACCAGCCTGCTCCTGCAGCCAGATCCAGAAGCTCTGACCCATGGGATGGAGATCCCTGCATCCCTTTCCCACTATTCCAGCCTCAGTTTTCACCTTCTGGCTTGGGAAAAGAGCAAGGTCTGGGTCCAGGCACTACAGGAGCCAGGAGCTGCTGCAGTCAGCAGGAACCTCACCCGCTCCTGCTACACACAAATACCTTGGGATGCTGGTGCACGCAGTGCATCATCCATACGTCTGTCTCTATATATATCCCTGCCCACTCCCCATCCCCGGGTACAACAGCTCACGGCCTCAGCGCAGCTGGGATCACGCTGCTATTCCCATCTGCTCCCGACAAACACAAAGGAAGAGGCTCGGGAACGGGGCTGGCTCCGTGCAACAGGAGCACCGGGATCGCGGCGCCAGGCCAAGCGTGGATGCTCTGTGCTGCATCCAAGGATGGAGCGTGCTAAAACAAGGCAAGGCTCAGTGGCACTGGTGCCGTCTATAGCTTGGTAGTGCCAAAGAGTCCTGGACTGGTGCAAACCAGAGCCCAAAGGGGGGGAAGCAGCAGGGATTTACCCTCCATCGGGATGCAGGAGCTGGCAAAGGGATGGATTTGTCCCCTTCTGTCAGCTCTAACGCTAAGGAAAGGTGGATGTAGAGGGCACAAGAGCCCGGCTCCACTCCTTTCCCTGCATCTGGAGTTTCTCTTACATATTCAAGACCAGTGTTCAGTGAATTATTTAACACAGGCACTTGAGCCTGAGTGGTGGCAGCCAGCTCCTGGCACGTCCCCTGCCTCGCCAACCAGCGTCTCTCCATACAGAGCATCATTCCCTCCCTCTATCCCTCAACCCAGAGGTGGATTCCAGTCCCTACCCTACACATCACCCCCCAGGGACCCAGCACTCACCTTTAAGCTGCTGCCTTTGGGGTACCAGCACTGCCCCCCCGCTATTTGGGGACCCCAAAGCCCACATTGGGGTTCCCAGCCTGGGCAGGAGCTGCCTCCCAGCACAGCCTCTGCTTGCAGCCACATTGCCTTGAGAAGGAGCCCCTTGCCTGAGGGCTGCTCTTAATAAACCCTCATTAATTGCCCTCATTGGCTGCTCTCATTAGCAGGCCCAGCCTTAAGTCCCTGCAGGTGGTGTTGGGCAGCCTTGCGGCTCGCAAGAGGTGTCCTGGAGCCTATGAGGATGCTCTGGGATGGGGGCTGTCATTGTCCTCTCTCTTTGGAGTGCTTCACCCCCAACACAAACCCTCTTCAACAGGGGGTCCTTGGGTATATCCTGCTTCATCCTTCCCCTGCCTTGTGCAGGGGTCCACAAGGTGCAGGGATGCAGAACATGGAGGGATGCTCAGTCATTGGGGGGATTCTTGGTGCTGGGGAAGGATATTTTAGTGCCAAGGGCACTGGGGGGAGGAATGCTCCATGTTGGGGGGATGCTTGGTGCTTGGGGGGATGCTTGAGGGGGGCATTTGGTGCTAGGAGGGATGCTCAGTGCTGAAGGAGGGATGCCTGATGTTGGGGGGATGCTTGTTGCTTAGAGGGATGCTTGAGGGGGGGATTTGGTGCTTGAAGGGATGCTCAGTGCTGAAGGGGGGATGCTTGTTGCTTGAAGGGGATGCTCAGTGCTGGGGAAGGATGCTCGATGCTGAAGGGATGCTCGGTGCTTGAGGGGGGATACCTGATATTGGGGGGATGCTCAGTGCTGGGGAAGGATGCCCCATGTTGAAGGGATGCTCAGTGCTTATGGGGGGATGCTCGATGCTAGGAGGGATGCTCAGTGCTGGGGAAGGATGCTCGATGCTGAAGGGATGCTCGGTGCTGAGGAAGGATGCTCAGTGCTTGTGGGGGGATGCTCGATGCTAGGAGGGATGCTCAGTGCTGGGGAAGGATGCTCGATGTTGAAGGGATGCTCAGTGCTTATGGGGGGATGCTCGATCCTAGGAGGGATGCTCAGTGCTGGGGAAGGATGCTTGATGTTGAAGGGATGCTCTGTGCTTGAGGGGGGATACCTGATACTGGGGGGATGCTCAGTGCTGGGGAAGGATGCTCGATGCTGAAGGGATGCTCGGTGCTGAGGAAGGATGCTCAGTGCTTGTGGGGGGATGCTCGATGCTTGGAGGGATGCTCAGTGCTGGGGAAGGATGCTCGATGTTGAAGGGATGCTCAGTGCTTATGGGGGGATGCTCGATCCTAGGAGGGATGCTCAGTGCTGGGGAAGGATGCTCGATGCTGAAGGGATGCTCGGTGCTTGAGGGGGGATACCTGATATTGGGGGGATGCTCAGTGCTGGGGAAGGATGCTCGATGCTGAAGGGATGCTTGGTGCTGAGGAAGGATGCTCAGTGCTTGTGGGGGGATGCTCGATGCTTGGAGGGATGCTCAGTGCTGGGGAAGGATGCTTGATGTTGAAGGGATGCTCAGTGCTTATGGGGGGATGCTCGATGCTAGGAGGGATGCTCAGTGCTGGGGAAGGATGCTTGATGTTGAAGGGATGCTCAGTGCTTATGGGGGGATGCTCGATGCTTGGAGGGATGCTCAGTGCTGGGGAAGGATGCTCGATGCTGAAGGGATGCTCGGTGCTTGAGGGGGGATACCTGATATTGGGGGGATGCTCAGTGCTGGGGAAGGATACTTGATGCTGAAGGGATGCTCGATGCTGAAGGGATGCTCGATGCTGAAGGGATGCTCGGTGCTGAGGAAGGACGCTCAGTGCTCGAGGGGGGATGCTCGTTGCTTGGAGGGATGCTCAGTGCTGGGTAAGAACACTTAACGCCAGGAGTCCCCCCACATCCCACCCCCCGGAGCCGAGCCACGCTGGCAGTTCCCGACTGTCCTTTATTACAGAGAACAGGGGCTGCCTCCAGAAAACGAGGGGCCCCGCTCCCCAAAAAGAGCCTTCACCCCCCAGCTCCCCCCACACCCCCCGGCTCCTGCTGCTGCCATTGGCACCGAGGGGGGGGGGTGTGTGGGGTGGGGTGGCAGCCAGCGTGGCCCCCCCTTCCCCCATCAGCAAAGCCGGCCTCGCTTGTCTTGGGTTTAATGTCTCTTTTTCGCTGTGGTTTTGCCCCGTTTTGCTGTATTTTACACACCAGTTGGATGTTACCGTCACATGAAGAAGAGAGAGACCTGGACAAGAGAACGGCTACGAGCGCTAGGGTTAAAACACACAAACCCCCTCCCCAGCCCACCAGGGAATGCTTCCTGGAGGAGCAGGGTGGAGGGGGGGGGGGGCTGAGAGGTGATGGGTGGGCACCCAGCGTGGCTCCGTCCTCAGCCCAGCCGCGTCAACCTCTTCTTTTTTTTCTTTTTTAGGGGTAAAAAGAAAAGAGAATGGGCTAAAAACACGAAGTGGCCCTAAAAGCATCGTTGTTACTGCGGAGCAGGATTATGACTTCTCTCCAGATTGTCCAAAATCACCTACAGAAGGACTTTGGGGCCTGCTGACCATGGTCCCGCTGCCACCGTGGTCCCCGTGGGATGCGACAGGGATGTCCCCCCTTTGGTAGGAGAAGGAACAAGCAGCCAGGTACCCCAGGGAGGTGGTTTTTTTTTGGGGGGGGGGGGTGTCTGGATGCAGGCTCCCCTATGGAGCACCTTGGGGTTCAGTGGGTGCCCCTCTCCATCACCCTGTGCCTGGTGGGGTGGCACTGGGTGCTGGGCCCCATTGTGGAGCAGGGGTGATGGTGATGGGGTGAAGCACTCTCATGGTCTGTAGCCAGGCTCCTGGCTGTTGGCAGCACCCCAGATGTGGCCTCGGTGGTACCCAAGGAGGGGCAGATCAGTGTCCTCCCCATGGGCGCCTTCGGAGGGGCATGGGAAGACTGAGGATTGGGGTCAATGGGCTCGCTATGGGTGCCCATGGGTGGCTGTGCCCTACCTGAGATGGCTGCGGAGCTGGCAGCACCCACCTCTTCCCCTCCTGCTGCTGTGGGTGCTGTCACATCATACCCAGTGCTGCTGGGGTCCTGCCAGCACCCATGTGCCCCATGGGGAGCTCACCACCACAGGGTGACACCATTGTCACCCCCAAACCCCTGCACCCCATGGGGCTCCCAGGAGGGTCCCATAGCCTCGACCCCAGGGAGCTGGCAGGGATCTGGCACATGAATCCCAATGGGAGATGCTGGCACTGCTCCTGCCAGGCTGGCTGCCCCAAGGAATGCCACCTACCCAGGATGGGGACAATGGCACTTGCTCCGTCCCCTATCCCCAGGGACCCCAGCGCTGGGCACAGGGCTCATGGGGGTCAGCCTGGCTGGAAGGGGATGCTCTGGGGCTCAGCATCCCTTTGTGGGTACCACCACATGGGTCAAGGCCAGTCCCTTGCCCAGCCCTATGGGGACAAGCCCAGGGTGGGGGTAACGTGGGGTGAAAGCTGGGTTAGGGGCAGGATGGAGGGGGGGTGGTCCCCACGCAGTGGGGTGAGCCCCAGGATGGGGTTCTCGACCTCCTGCTCCCAGCGAGCCCATGGACGGAGGTAAAGCATCAAACCCAGCTAAAGGCAGTGCACAAACGAGCCCGCTTTGGCTATCGAACTGTGTCATGGCTTCCGATCCCAGGAGCCCGCGCCTGGCCCGGGAATGGGGGTTACCCCCTCCCATGGGTGCCCCCACCTTCCCCATCCCACCCCAACAGGGGGTTTGGGGAGGGCGGTGGGGATGAGGATGGGCAATGGAAGGGGGGAGCTCCATGGCCCTGCTCAGGCGACGCTGACGGCTCGGAGAGGTTCTATTGAGCTGGAAGGGGAAGGGAAAGGGGGGGACCCCTCTTGCCTGGCCCCCTGCAATGGGGGGGGGGGGTGTGTTGAGGCTGGGAAGGGGCAGAGGGGCTCCCAGGGAGCGGGGCTGGAAGCACTCATTGAAGTCCTGCCCAATGGTGGGATGGGGATGGGGGGGGTCTGGCACCCATCTCCAAGCTGGGGGGGGGGGGTTGGGGGGTGGGTCCTGGGTACCCCAGCGCTGGGATGAGGTGAAAGCAAAGGGGTTGGTGGGCTCCATCCCCCTCCTACCGCAGGGTCCCCACGAGCCGGGCGCTGTCCTGCTGGTGCCTCAGCTCCCTCCCACCTGGGAGGCCTGAGGAAGGGTGATGGGCGCTGGGAAGGTGGGGGGACCCCCGGCCCCGCAGTCCTTGGTTTGGGGGGGGGGGTGGTGGGGGTGCTCAGGCCTTCAGCTGGTGCCACTGTGCCACTGCCTGCCGGGGACGGGCGATCATGTCCTTCCAGTGCTTCACCTCCCCGGGGCCGCTCTTCCAGGACAGGTAGATCTGGGAGGGGGGACACGACAGGAAGGACTTGGACCCATGGCTCCGCTATGGGAGCCTCCAGTCCCATCCTGCTCCCTATGTGTGTGGCTGTGTTCATCCATCAGTTTTCCATATGGTGACATGGAAAACCACGTGTGCCAAGGCCTCCCTGGAGAAGAATTTGCTGCTAATTTTGCCAACTGAAGTGATCGGCCCACTACTGGCTATGGTGGGGTGGCCAGGGCATGGGCCTCACCATCAGCATCACTGTGTTGCTTTAATGCTGCAGTGCTCCCAGCAGCTTAATGCAATGTGGTGGCATCATGGGCACTGGCTGTCCATTCGTCCATTCATCATTGATCCATCCATCCATCATTGATCCATCCATCCGTCATTGATCCATCCATCCATCACTGATCCATCCATCCACCCATCATCCATCCATCCATCACTGATCCATCCATCCACCCAACACTGATCCTTCCATCCATCCATCATTGACCCATCCATCCATCATTGATCCATCCATCCATCCATCACTGATCCGTCCATCCATCACTGATCCATCCATCCATCCATCCATCCATCCATCACTGATCCATCCATCGATCCATCTGTCCATCCGTCCATCCATCATTGATCCATCCATCCATCACTGATCCATCCATCCATCACTGATCCATCCATCCATCACTGATCCATCCATCCATCATTCATCCATCCACCCATCCATCCATCATTGATCCATCCATCCATCATTGATCCATCCATCCATCACTGATCCATCCATCCACCCAACACTGATCCTTCCATCCATCCATCATTGACCCATCCATCCATCATTGATCCATCCATCCATCCATCACTGATCCGTCCATCCATCACTGATCCATCCATCCATCCATCTGTCCATCCATCCATCCATCATTGATCCATCCATCCATCACTGATCCATCCATACATCATCCATCCATCCATCCATCCATCCATCCATCCATCCATCCATCCATCATTGATCCATCCATCCATCACTGATCCATCCATACATCATTCATCCATCCATCCATCCATCCATCCATCCATCCATCCATCCATCCGTCCATCCATCACTGATCCATCCATCCATCACTGATCCATCCATCCATCATTCATCCATCCATCCATCCATCCATCCATCCATCCATCATTGATCCATCCATCCATCCATCCATCCATCCATCCATCCATCCATCACTGATCCATCTATTCATCATTGATCCATCCATCCATCCATCCATCTATTCATCATTGATCCATCCATCCATCCATCCATCCATCCATCCATCCATCACTGATCGATCCATCCATCCATCATCCATCCATCCATCACTGACCCATCCATCCATCCATCCATCATTGATCCATCCATCCACCCATCATTGATCCATCCATCCATCCATCACTGATCCATCCATCCATTCACCCATCATTGATCCATCCAACCACCGACCCATCATCCATCCATCCTGATGGCACAGTCATGCTCATGCCACCAGTGATGCTCCCACTGGGGACACTCCTGTCCATCTCCAGCATCCCACCATTCCATCCCACCCCTTCCCAGCTTCATCCCAATCTCCACGTTTCCTTGATGACAGCACTGCATTGGGGGATCACCAGCTCTCTTTTGCCATCACTACTCTAAGGAGCAGTGAGCTCAATGGGTTTAACTGCATCAAATCCAGAGGGAGGGAATTCCTCCCTTCCTGTTTTTGGGAAGTGATGGGTAATCCCGGTGTGGGGATGGAGGCTGGGGTCTGTCTGGGGGTGGACCCACCATGGCACACAGGAGCCATAGGAGGCTTCAATTTGTGTCTTGCTATAGGTAGACTTACGCAGGTTGAAGCTCACCATGGCACAGGCTATGGGCATGGGGCTCCATCATCTCAATGCTCATAGAACCATAGAACGGTTTGGGTTGGAAAAGACCTTCAGATCATCCAGTTCCAAGCCCCCTCACACCAGATGAGTCCTTGCCACCACACACCATGGCCGTGCAAAGCCAACGCAAGGGAACCCCACCACACTCCACCTTCCTCTTCAGCTTGAGCTGACACCACCGAGCAGGGACCCGGTTGTCCCCCATCTGCCACCCTTATGTAGGACCCTCCACCCCACCCCGGTGCCATGGGACCCACCTTGCCGATGACATCGTTGCGGCTCAGCCTGTCCTTGTCCATGACGGTGATGACGATGGTGGTCTCGCGCAGCCGCTCCGTGGGGATGTCGAAGGCGAAGGACTCGTTGAAGACGGGGTTCAGGCACCGTTTCATCACCACCGTCTTCTTCTTCTCCACCCGCTTGTCCTTGTACATCAGCCAAACCTTCACGTAGGGGTCTGGGTTGGGGGGGGACACACAGGAGATGCTCTCAGCCCTGGCCTGGCATGGAGCAATGGTACCCAACGCGGCGAGAGGTGGAGCTCGTACCTGACGTGCCCCCGATGTCCATGGCTTTGAGGTTCCGTGCTTTGATGATGTTCACCACGATGGAGTTGGCGGAGGGGTTGTAGCACAGCGACAGCAGCAGCTCCCCACGGCTTCCCTGTGGGACCCACAGAGGCCCAAGCCTTGAGAGGGCACCCAAAGCCCCCATGTCCCACTGTGGGTGCAGGGTGCTGAGATGGGAACCCCTCTTCCGGAGCTGTCCCAAGGTGGGGCTTTGGGGCCACAGGGAAAATCAGGGCAGGAGGAAACGGGGCCGTTCCCACTGGGACATTGTGTGGTCCTGCTGGAGGCAACTTTCAGTTTAGATCTACTCAAACCAGCTTGTTTTGACCCAAAATGAGATGCTCTGGACTATTTTGGATCTAGCCAAAATGGCTTGTTTTGACCCAAAATGAGATGCTCTGGACTATTCTTGATCTAGCCAAAATGGCTTGTTTTGACCCAAAAGGAGATGCTCTGGGCTATTCTAGATCTAGCCAAAATGGCTTGTTTTGACCCAAAATGAGATGCTCTGGGCTATTCTAGATCTAGCCAAAATGGCTTGTTTTGACTCAAAATGAGATGCTCTGGACTATTCTAGATCTAGCCAAAATGGCTTGTTTTGACCCAAAAGGAGATGCTCTGGGCTATTCTAGATCTAGCCAAGAAGGCTTGTTTTGACCCAAAATGAGACGCTCTGGACTATTTTGGATCTAGCCAAAATGGCTTGTTTTGACCCAAAAAGAGATGCTCCGGACTATTTTGGATCTAGCCAAAATGGCTTTTTTTGACCCAAAAGGAGATGCTCTGGACTATTCCAGATCTAGCAAAAATGGCTTGTTTTGACCCAAAAGGAGATGCTCTGGACTATTTTGGTTCTAGCCAAAATGGCTTGTTTTGACCCAAAAGGAGATGCGCTGGGCTATTCTAGATCTAGCCAAAATGGCTTGTTTTGACCCAAAAGGAGACCCTCTGGACTATTCTAGATCTAGCCCAAATGGCTTGTTTTGACCCAAAAGGAGATGCTCTGGACTATTTTGGATCTAGCCCAAATGGCTTGTTTTGACCCAAAAGGAGACCCTCTGGACTATTCTAGATCTAGCCCAAATGGCTTGTTTTGACCCAAAAGGAGATGCTCTGGACTATTTTGGATCTAGCCCAAATGGCTTGTTTTGACCCAAAAAGAGATGCTCCGGACTATTCTAGATCTAGCCCAAATGGCTTGTTTTGACCCAAAAAGAGATGCTCTGGGCTATTCTAGATCTAGCCCAAATGGCTTGTTTTGACCCAAAATGAGACGCTCTGGACTATTTTGGATCTAGCCAAAATGGCTTGTTTTGACCCAAAATGAGATGCTCTGGGCTATTCTAGATCTAGCCAAAATGGCTTGTTTTGACCCAAAAGGAGATGCTCTGGACTATTTTGGATCTAGCCAAAATGGCTTGTTTTGACCCAAAATGAGATGTGCTGGGCTATTCTAGATCTAGCCAAAATGGCTTGTTTTGACCCAAAAGGAGATGCTCTGGACTATTTTGGATCTAGCCAAAATGGCTTGTTTTGACCGAAAATGAGATGCTCTGGGCTATTCTAGATCTAGCCAAAATGGCTTGTTTTGACCCAAAAGGAGATGCTCTGGACTATTTTGGATCTAGCCAAAATGGCTTCTTTTGACCCAAAAGGAGATGCGCTGAGCTATTCTAGATCTAGCCAAAACGGCTTGTTTTGACCCAAAAGGAGACCCTCTGGGCTATTCTAGATCTAGCCCAAATGGCTTGTTTTGACCCAAAATGAGATGCTCTGGGCTATTCTAGATCTAGCCAAAATGGCTTGTTTTGACCCAAAATGAGACGCTCTGGACTATTCTAGATCTAGCCAAAATGGCTTGTTTTGACCCAAAAGGAGATGCTCTGGGCTATTCTAGATCTAGCCAAGAAGGCTTGTTTTGACCCAAAAGGAGATGCTCTGGACTATTTTGGATCTAGCCAAAATGGCTTGTTTTGACCCAAAATGAGATGCTCTGGGCTATTCTAGATCTAGCCAAAATGGCTTGTTTTGACCCAAAATGAGATGCTCTGGACTATTTTGGATCTAGCCAAAATAGCTTGTTTTGACCCAAAAGGAGATGCTCTGGGCTATTCTAGATCTAGCCAAAATGGCTTGTTTTGACCCAAAATGAGATGCTCTGGGCTATTCTAGATCTAGCCAAAATGGCTTGTTTTGACCCAAAATGAGATGCTCTGGGCTATTCTAGATCTAGCCAAGAAGGCTTGTTTTGACCCAAAAGGAGATGCGCTGGGCTATTCTAGATCTAGCCCAAATGGCTTGTTTTGACCCAAAATGAGATGCTCTGGACTATTTTGGATCTAGCCAAAATGGCTTGTTTTGACCCAAAATGAGATGCTCTGGACTATTCTAGATCTAGCCAAGAAGGCTTGTTTTGACCCAAAAGGAGATGCTCTGGACTATTTTGGATCTAGCCAAAATGGCTTTTTTTGACCCAAAAGGAGATGCTCTGGGCTATTCTAGATCTAGCCAAAATGGCTTGTTTTGACCCAAAATGAGATGCGCTGGGCTATTCTAGATCTAGCCCAAATGGCTTGTTTTGACCCAAAATGAGATGCTCTGGGCTATTCTAGATCTAGCCAAAATGGCTTGTTTTGACCCAAAATGAGATGCTCTGGACTATTTTGGTTCTAGCCAAAATGGCTTGTTTTGACCCAAAAGGAGATGCGCTGGGCTATTCTAGATCTAGCCAAAATGGCTTGTTTTGACCCAAAAGGAGACCCTCTGGACTATTCTAGATCTAGCCAAAATGGCTTGTTTTGACCCAAAAAGAGATGCTCCGGACTATTCTAGATCTAGCCCAAATGGCTTGTTTTGACCCAAAAGGAGATGCTCTGGGCTATTCTAGATCTAGCCAAAATGGCTTGTTTTGACCCAAAAAGAGATGCTCTGGGCTATTCTAGATCTAGCCCAAATGGCTTGTTTTGACCCAAAATGAGACGCTCTGGACTATTTTGGATCTAGCCAAAATGGCTTGTTTTGACCCAAAATGAGATGCTCTGGGCTATTCTAGATCTAGCCAAGAAGGCTTGTTTTGACCCAAAAGGAGATGCGCTGGGCTATTCTAGATCTAGCCAAAATGGCTTGTTTTGACCCAAAAGGAGATGCTCTGGACTATTTTGGATCTAGCCAAAATGGCTTGTTTTGACCCAAAAGGAGACCCTCTGGACTATTCTAGATCTAGCCAAAATGGCTTGTTTTGACCCAAAAAGAGATGCTCCGGACTATTCTAGATCTAGCCCAAATGGCTTGTTTTGACCCAAAAAGAGATGCTCTGGGCTATTCTAGATCGAGCCAAAATGGCTTGTTTTGACCCAAAATGAGATGCGCTGGGCTGTTCTAGATCTAGCCAAAATGGCTTGTTTTGACCCAAAATGAGACACTCTGGACTATTTTGGATCTAGTCAAAATGGCTTGTTTTGACCCAAAAGGAGACGCTCTGGACTATTCTAGATCTAGCCAAGAAGGCTTGTTTTGACCCAAAATGAGATGCTCTGGGCTATTCTAGATCTAGCCAAAATGGCTTGTTTTGACCCAAAATGAGATGCTCTGGACTATTCTAGATCTAGCCCAAATGGCTTGTTTTGACCCAAAATGAGACGCTCTGGCAGCTTTGCACATTAAAATAAAGATGTGGGATGAGAAACCCGTCCAATGGACACCAAACCTCCTCCCAAGGCAGAAAAGTCCCCATCGGGGTAGCAAGAAGGTGCTGGTCCCATTGGGACACCCCAGAAACGGGGGGGAGCCTCCCCTTGAGGACTGTGCCCCTGTTTTGGAGGGGGAGCAGGGCCTTACGCTGCCATCGCTGCAGGGCTTCAGGTCCTTCCAGAAGGTCTGCATCTGGGTGAGATCCACCTTGTTGAGGGGGATGGACACCTCCCCAATGGGGTCGTTGCGGCTGAAGCGGTCGTAGTCCAGCACCTGGAGGTACAGCACCCGCTGCACCACCTTCTCGTAGGGGAACCCTGTGCCAGAGATGGAAGAGGAGGAAGAGCCATCATGGTCATGCCAATGAGCACCCGATACTCTTCCTTGTGTTGATGAGGAGATGTTGACACGAGGGAGCAGACCATGGCGTGAGCGGTGGTAGGTTAATTCCCATGTACGCACCCACCCATGGGTGCTTGATGGGAGAAGAAGGACCCCCCCCACATGTCCCTTATATGCAGAGCAAACACCTCCAACGCGGCCTTGATAGCTTGGCCAACCCATCGCATCAGTGGTAGCCATCACGTTGGTGGCTTGAGCTGAGCAGACCCAGCCAAGGAGGGAGGGAATAGGGTCCCACCACCGCCCTGCTCCCATCCCAGTCCACTCCAGCCCATCCCAACCCCTACCTTCGAAGAGGAAGGTCTCATTCCAATGCGGGTTGAGGTTCTTCCGCTTCACCTTGGTCTCCAGCTTGTGCTTCTTGTCGGGGAGCAGGTAGATCTTGACAAAGGGGTCGCTGGTGCCGCTGAAGTCCTTGGCCGGCAGCTCCTGCGCCTTCATGATCTTCACGGTCAGGGTGGACTCCTGGAAGTTGTAGCCGACGCTGAACTGGATGCGGCCCAGGTTCTCCCGGCTGATGCCATCGTGGGCCTCGTCATCCTCGGAGCCCGGAGAGAGCTGTGGCAAGGGGAGAAGGGCGATGAGCTCCTGGGGACCACCAGTGGGGTCTGCACATCCTTGTCCCCCCCCTTTTTAGCACCTCTACACCAGCACCCAACCTCCAACCCCGCGAGCTGTCGCTGGGCATCAGCTTCTCAACCAGCCCCCTGTCAGCAGCATCACCTCGGATGACTCCTGGCTCCGCGCCGTGCATCCCAAGGATGGGAAGTGCCAATTAGCCAAATTCCTCCTGACAACCATCCCTCACATCTCCATCACTGCTTCATCATGCTTGGCCCCGGGGGGATGGCTGCGTCACCTCGGTTGTGACACGGACGTGCCACTGCTTAAGGCACCGGGTGGGCACAGGGAAGAGCCAGAGGGATGCGAGAAGACACCCATATGGTACCCAGCCAGGGCTACCAACCATGGGGAGCCCGTCCCCATCACTCCCCATCACCCACCATGAGCATCTCGCTGGTCAGGGAGTTGACCAGGTCGGAGACGGAGGAGCGAGGCTCCGTCTTGCGGTCGGACTCATCGTGCGGCGGCTGCCCGGGCACCGGTGCCGTGGTCACCGCCTTGCCACCGGCCGGTAACCTGGGGAAAGAGAGGCCGGGACTCAGAGGAGAGGGGCTGAGAGCCGAGGGTGAGACAGCGAGGGGCTCCCCGGGCACCCTCTCCCAGCGGATGCTGCGCCTGGGCTGGGATGCAGGGCTGGGATGCAGGGATACCCCGCACCGGGGGCTGCGTGCCACCAGCATCCCCGCCTCCTGGTTGGTGCAGGCAGCTGGTTCTGCCTGTGCTGCTGCCAGCTCATGCCCTAAGACCTGCGCACACCACCTCAGAGCACAACAGAAGGTCCCACGGTGCCCATGTCTCCCCCAGCACCAGCAGAACCCATGGTGATACTGGGCCAGCCACTCAGCCATGTGGCCACCCAGTCCCTGTCTGCACCTCACACGGCCCCTTTCCACCCTGGTGAGGTCCAGTGTAGCTGACACACTGTGAGTGAGCTCGGCACCCGGTGCCAACCACCCCTTGTCCCTCTGCCATAGAGCCCCCCTGTGCCCCACAGCCAGGACCACTGCCCTGGTTCTAGAGAGCGGGTCTGGAGGGGCTGCGGCTCCTGGCTGGTTGCGGGATGATGGACACGGTGCCAGGGAGGGAACATCCCAGAGGGAAGGTGGAGAGCCAGGAGCACACAAACAGAGCAGCAATGGAGGCACCCCACCAAGGCCACGCTGCCACGATGCACAGGGCCAACAGGGATGGGGCAGCACCGGGTGGCCCCATGGTGCAAAGGGAGGGTACGTGCACACAGACAGCACCCCACGCTGCACCCAGCCCGAGCCGAGACACGATGCTGGGGTACACACAGCCCCAGAACGGCCCCACAAGGTCACAAAGCCACCATCATGCCACTGGGACACGCCAAGCACACGCAGACACGCACACACACACTGATGGAGATGCAGAAGGGGGACCTGGGGGGTGATGGGGGTGGCAGCACCGGGGGGCCGCCCTCTCACACACGCACGCGGTTCAGCCGCCCCGCTGGGACGGCACCAAGCGAGGACCGGAGAGCCCGAGGTAGCTGGGGAGGTAAAACCGGGTTAAAACCAGAGGGAAAATGGAAGCAGAGGAGCTGGTGGTGGGAGCCGCTGGGGCGAGAGGCGCCGGTGGAGCCGTGGGTGCCGGGGTGCGGGCACCGTGTGCCAGCGGAGGTCGAGGACAGCAAGAAAGAAAGAGCAAGGAAAGAGCAAGAGAAGGAGGAGAAGCATCATCCGCTGCTGGCCTGCAGGGAGGGAATGGGGAGAGAGGAGCGGGGAGGTGAACGGACGGAGAGAGCTTGCTTGGTCGCCGGGACAGGAGCCGCGCCGAGGAGCCGGGCTGGAGCCGCCGGGGATGGGCTGGAAGGAAGAAGCTGAGAACTAGGGATGGAGGAAACGTTTTGGGGTGGAAGAGCGGGAGGTCGGCAGCGCCGGGTGGGCAGGAAGGAGCAGAGGGTGAAGCCAATGCTGGCTGAGCCCCCCTCCGTGTCCCATGGGATGCAGGGGAATAAGGAGCAAGGGATGGATGTGGAGGCCATGCATGCGCCGGGATGGGGCTTTGGGACCAGCGAGCTGGGGGAAGCAGGGAGCAGGGTCTTGCTGCGGCCCCCACCGCCACGCAGGGACCCCCATCCCCGTCAGCCAGCACAGGGCAGGTAGCACGGGCCCGTCTGCTCAGCGCGGAGCCGGCTAAAGGGAAGTGCTAAAAGATGGAGCGAAACCAAGCGGGTGCAGGGTTAAAAATAGGCGCTGGGAGAGAACGGTGCCAGTTCATCCCCACGGCGAGCACACGGCGGGGGGGGGGGCAGAACCCGCCGGCTTCACACCTCCTCCCCGCTCCCGAGAGGGGATTAACACCCGCTCCCGGCAGCACAGGGCCCCTCTGCTCCTGTCGGGGCTGGTGCCAGATGTGGTGCTGAGCCTTTGGCACCCCGAGAAGGCAGGAGCAGGCGGAGGCGCAGCTTGCTTGGAGGAAAAAGGGGAGTAACGCGTGTGTCCGTGTCCCCCCCCCCCCCCCCCAAGCCTGTTGCGCTTGCTCTGCCCCTGGTTGAGCACTGAGGCTCTAAGGGATGAACACAAGCCGCTGCAGGGATGTCCGCGCATCCCTCGGGGTGCTGCCAGCCCCGCACCGGGCTGCAAACGGCGCGATGGACCAGACATGCGTTAGGATGGGATGCGGCATCATCGGGGGCATCCCATCCGTGCGTCCCTGCTCCCGAGGTGGGCCTCCCCCCCCCCCCCCCGCCCCCAGCATGCAGCCGGGATGGGAGGGCTGGAGGTGGGGATGGCAGGAGGGGAAGGGCAGGGAGGGAGGAGGAAGGGATTAAGGGGTGGGGGGGTTCCTCTCGGTGCCGCTGCTCCAAAGGCAGAACCGCGGATGCCGGCGGGCGAGAGCTGCAGTCGTGCCGGTGCCCGCTGGGGCCACCCTGTGCCGCTCCAACCTTGGCGCTCCACGAGGCCAGCCTCCTCCTCCTCCTCCTCCTCCACCCTGCGTGAGGCCCTGGTCTCCTCCTGCGGGACTGCCCTCGTCCTCGCTCATACCTCTTGTCCCCCTGAGCGTTCGGCTGGTTCGGCTGCGTCCCAGCGGGTTGCAGGTCGGGGATATTGGCAAAGTCATCTTGCTCTGAGAGTCCCAAAACCAGGGATAACACCACCATCCGGCCTTCCCTGCCCAGGCATCCCCGCAGGCAGCGGGAGAGAGAGAAAGAGAAAGAGGAGAACACAGCATCAGGCAGAGAACAGGCAGGAGCCGCTGGCGCACCGAGGGTCCCCCGATGGCAAAGGGACCCCGGCTCTGCCCGCTGGAGGTGATGGGCACAGAGGGCTGTGGGGAGAAAGGTGCCAGCTCCTGGGACACATGGGTACCACCACCACCCTTCTCCTCCACTGGTCCAGGCAGGGAGGATGCCAAAGTCCTGCCGAGGGGGGGAAAGATGATGCCCAGAGGGGCTGGGGATAAGGGGCAGAGCAACAGGAGCGAGGTGCCAGCATCCTTCCAGGGAGGAGGAGATAGCAGTGCCGTGGCTGAGGCTCTTTGCCAGTCTCTGGCACTGCTGGCACAGCCTCCCCGGGCCTGTAACCACGTTTATGCCATGGTGATAGCAGGATAAAGAGGAAAAGCAAAGTGAAAGCTTTGGGAAGCAGCTCTGGTGAATGGAAGCAGCTCCTCCGCCGGGAAGCAGTGCGCTGGGTCGGCACATTGCAGCTCTGCGGCTCTTCCTCCCATCCCAGCAATAAAGGCTGGGATCCAGCACCAGGAAACAGGGGGAATGCGACCCTTGGGATGGCGAATGAGGCACATCACATTGGGAAGCTGGCAAATGGGGCCTCTTGTGGGAGAGGGCAGAGCTGGCATCAGGAAGAGCCGGCAGGCACCGGCTGGCTCGTGGTGAGGATGGGGGGGTTCAACTTCTCCATTGCTGCCTATGGAGGCAGAAGTGGGGTGGGCAGCCAAATTCGTGTCTCTTAGGGCATTTCCCACCTAACCCTGATGCAGAAGGTGCTGCACTGAGCAGGATCAGACCTGTGTCCCCTACCCTGAGCACTACCAGCCTGTGGGAAGCGCATCCAGGACCTCAGCATCCCCTTTCCTGGGGCTCTGGGTGGCAAACAGAGGCCAAGGGGGAGCAGGAGGACCCTGGGGAGGATGGAGGCTGGGGGGGGGGGGGGGGCTGTCTCCATGGAGGAGTGACAGTGTCATGTGCTGGGATGTGGTCACAGCACGGGACTCAGATTAGCCCTCAGTGCTTGAGGGCTGAGAGGCAGTGCTGATACAGGAGATAGGGTTAAGCCAGATTAAAGACCACACGACTGCAGCAGCTCGATATCGGGGCTGAACAGATGCTCACCCCTGCACGGGGGCCACCACCACTGTGGCTGACACCCCCCATTCCTCCTTGGGGCAATGTCATTCCTTGGGGACCGCACCAGTGGCTGTCCCATGGGCTGGAAAATCCCTGCACTCCCTGGGGACCAAAGGAGACCTGAGCACCCACATGGAGAGTGATGGGCAGCAAAGCCAGAGGGCAAAGGAAGTTGGGGAGGGTGAGGGGTCTATCCCTGAGCCCCCAGGTTGGGTGAGCTGGGATGGGGATGGAGGGAGCTGGCTCTTCCCCATGGCCGTGGGTAGCGGTTCCCTGAGGAGGAGCTGGCTGAGCAGAGGAGAGAGCAGAGGGGAATGCAGCAGAGAGGAGACGAGAAGGAGAAAGAGAAGGAGAAGGAGGAGAAGAAGAAAGAGGAGAAGGAAAGGTGGAGGAGAAGGAAAGGAGAAGGAAAAGGAAGAGAAGGAAAGGAGGAGGAAAAGGAGAAGGAGAAGGAAAGAAGGAGGAAAAGGAAGAGAAGGAGGAGGAGATGGAAGAGGAGAGGAAGAGAGAGAAGTGGAGAGGGGAGAGGAGAAAGGAGAGCATTGGGAGAGCAGAGGAGAGAGAATGTGAAGGGGAGCAGAAGAGAATGCCACGGAGAGAGCCATGGAGGGAGCAAATGAGAGAGCGAAAGAGAAAGCAAAGGACAGAGCAGTGGAGAGAGCAAAGGCAGGAGCAAAGGAGCCAAGGGGAGAGCAGAAGAGCGCGCACTTACAGGAAGGACTTCATATCCAAGCCGCGGTTGCGGATCTGCCCCACCACATGGTCCCAGCTGCCGGGGTTGGAGCGGCTCCGGCCGCCGGCCGTCTGATGCTTGGAGCCGGCGGCGATGCCGGGGCGCGCCTGGCCCCCGCGGGAGCCCCGGGCGGTGCCGGTGCCGGTGCCGGCCGAGGAGCCGCTGTGAGCCTGGAGGTGACCCAGGCTCTGGCTGGTGGTGGGCTGGCTGTGGTTGGAGCGCTGGTGCTGGCTGAGGGGCTGCTGCAGACTTTGCTGGCGCATGAGCGTGCGGGGCCTCTGGCATTTGGGGTCGCCTGCTGAGGTGGGGATATACTCAAGGGTAGTGGCTGTGGACAAGGTGGAGTCCTCGAAACTTAGGGAGAGGAAGGGCAGAGGAGAGGAGAGAAAGGAGAAGAAGGTGAAGGGGTAGAATTGGAGGAAGGAAAAGAAGAGAGTTAGAGAGAAGATGCCCCAGCGCAGGGAGCGCTCCGGCAGCGCCCAGCGGATGCAGCCACCGGTTCCTCTGCCCCTGCGCCCCGGCTCGCCGCTGGCCCGGCGCTGTCGCCCCGCTGCCATGTCGCTGGTGATGGGGGTGATGGTGCTGGGTGCCCTCCCTCTCCCGTGCCTGCCGTGCAGCAGCGGGCACCTTCCCAGCGCGCCGGGCGACCTCATCTGCCAGCTGAGGAATTAGGCTGCTGCGTGGAAGGCGAGTCCCGTGGCGCCCGCTCACGTGCTGCCGGTCCCCATCCCCATCTCCATCCCTCCCAACCCGGCACCCGCTGGGCCTCAGCATCACCCGTCCCATGGGACTGTGTCAAATGGGGTCCCACAGTGATGGAGAGGGTCGAGCCACCCGTGGTGGGGACGAGCCAGCAAGCTCCCCAGCGGTGAGGGGAGGGACCCCGTTAGGGTCCAGCCACGCTCCCAGTGCTCCGATAGTGGGATGGGGGTGATGCAGACGCGGGCCCAGTGGGATAGGGAGAGCAGGGAAGCCCGGCCCTGCGTGGAACGGGTTCATCTGGTTGTTGGAAAGGGAACAGCGGGTGCGGGAAGCGGCGGTGCCCATCGCTGGCCATGCAGCACATGCGTGGCATAGCCCATGCAGCCAGGCACGGTGCTGATGCCCACAGCAGCCTGCAAAGCTCGTGGCCGTGAGACCAAGGAGGGTCCATCCAGCCTGGCCAAAGCCCCCAGGACCGCACCAGGCCTGGCCCCACCTCCAGCAATAGCCACGGAGCCAACCGCGGTCCCCTGCATGGTGAAGCTGTGCCGTCGCGCATTGCCAGCAGCGGGGGGCAGAGGGGAGGGGGGGGGGGAAGGATAAAGAGCTTACAACATAAAAAATAGAGGGGAAGAAAGAGCGAAAGGGGAGAGAAAGGGAGAGAGGAGGGGGGGGGTGAGAGGAGCTGAGAGCTGGGATGGATCCAGCCCCATGGAAGGGCTGAAGGCAGCTGGGCAGTGCCCGGGCGCTGCTCCGTGCGTCTCCCCCCCCCTGTGCCTGCCGCCGACCTCCTTTTGCTTTCCTCCCCAGTCCCAAATTAGTTCCATTTACAACCTCTCACTCACAGGAAACTAAATCTGGCTCCTCTCGGCCCCGAGCCAGCCGGAGGTGCGAGCTCCTGCCAGCACCGTGCCAGGCGGCAGCACACCCTGCCTGCACCCTGCCTGCACCCTGTACAACCTGCCTGCACCCTGCACACACTGCAGGTACCCTGTACACCCTGCTTGTACCCTGCACACCCTGCTTGTACCCTGCATACCCTGCCTACATGCTGCACACCCTGCCTGCACCCTGCCTGCATCCCCTCAACCTGCCTGCACCCTGCACACACTGCAGGTACCCTGCACACCCTGCTTGTACCCTGCATACCCTGCCTACATGCTGCACACCCTGCCTGCACCCTGCCTGCATCCCCTCAACCTGCCTGCACTCTGCACACACTGCAGGTACCCTGTACACCCTGCTTGTACCCTGCATACCCTGCCTACATGCTGCACACCCTGCCTGCACCCTGCCTGCATCCCCTCAACCTGCCTGCACTCTGCACACACTGCAGGTACCCTGTACACCCTGCTTGTACCCTGCATACCCTGCCTACATGCTGCACACCCTGCCTGCATCCCCTCAACCTGCCTGCACCCTGCACACACTGCAGGTACCCTCTACACCCTGCTTGTGCCCTGCGTACCCTGCCTACACGCTGCACATCCTGCCTGCACCCTGCACACACTGCAGGTACCCTGCACACCCTGCTTGTACCCTGCATACCCTGCCTGCACTCTTTACAACCTGCCTGCACCCCGCTTAGTACTCTGCATACCTTGCCTGCACGCTTCACATCCTGCCTGCACCCTGCACCCACTGCCTGCACCCTGCACATCCTGCCTGCACCCTGCACACACTGCAGGTACCCTCTACACCCTGCACGCCCTGCTTGTACCCTGCATACCCTGCCTGCACACTGAACATCCTGCCTGCACGCTGCACATCCTGCCTGCACCCTGCATACCCTGCCTGCATGCTGCACGTCCTGCCTGTACCCTGCACACACTGCAGGTACCCTGCACACCCTGCTTGTACCCTGCATACCCTGCCTGCATGATGAACATCCAGCTTGTACCCTGCACACCCTGCCTGCACCCTGCACATCCTGCCTGCTCCCTGCACACACTGCAGGTACTCTGTACAACCTGCCTTTACCCTGCATACCTTGCCTGCACGCTGCATATCCTGCCTGCATGCTGCACATCCTGCCTGCACCCTGCACACCCTGCCTGCACCCTATGCAAGCTGCCTTTATCCTGCCTTTACCACGCCTGCACCCTGCACACCCTACCTGTACAACCTGCCTGCATCCTGCCTGTACCCTTCACACCCTGCCTGTATTCTGTACACCCTGCCTGTACCCTGCATACCCTGTCTGTACAGCCTGCCTGCACCCTGCCTGTACCCTTCATGCCCTGCCTGCACCCTTCATGCCCTGCCTGTGTCCCCTGCCTGTACCCTCTGCCTGTACCCCCTGCTCGCATCCCCTGCCTGCCCTGCCTCTACTCTGCCTGCACACCCTTCTGCACCCATCCGGGTGTCTCCGGTACCAGAGGAGGGCCACAGCAGCTGACCCCCCATGAACACCCCTAAACCCAAAAGCTCTGCACAAAAGAGATGCTGAAAGGCAGGAGGATGCTTCTCTGGTGGCTTCCATTCCCCCTTAGCTCTGCCCTTGCTGCCTGTGCCAGCCCTGTGAGCTACAGCATCGTCCATCCAGCATCCATCTGTCCAGCTGCCAACCCCTCCAGGCTCTGGAGCCAGGAGAACAGAGCCCATCCCCACACCAGCATCACTCCAAACAGGTACTGCAGCTCCCAACAGCGGGGTACACCAACCTCTGGGGCTCCAGGAGGCGGTTGGGGTTTGACCAAGACATCAGGAGTTGCCTTTCCCCTTTGAAAAGGTTTTCTCTCTACCAACAAGGCTGGAAGAAGCCATTGGGAATGAGGAACAGCAGTGCCTTTGCCATCACCACTGAGCTCTCTGAGGGTGCTGGGACCCACCAGGAGCATCGGAACAAGGGAACCAGCGCAGAGACAGAACGCAGGATGGAGCCCACAGCCAGATCATCCACCTATGGTCACTGCCAGCATTGGAGGGTCTCACCAAGACCCTCACCCAGGTTTGCCACTGCCAAAGCTCTGGTTTCCCCCTCAACCTGATAAACCACCATATTCCCAAATTATCTGCCAGTATCAGGATGTGGAGCCGCAAATGAGATGCCGGCACCGGGTCTCATGGGTCAGGGAAGAGGCTGGTGATGGCCACATCCTAGGGATGGGGAGATGGGATTGCAGCTCCTGCCTTTGGGCCGACACCACGATGATGCTCCAGGGAGCCTCACCGGGGACACCGAGCGGCACCGAACAAAGCCACCCTCGGCGCTGGAAACACACCGGGAACAGCACCCGAAGGCGCTTCTCCTGCAGCCAAAGCCCATGGAGGGGCAGGGGCAGCTCCTCAAACTGCGGTGGCTCCCGGTGCCCCCCATCCAAGCACGCTGTCGGTGGTGCTCACTCACTTGGACAGGCTGAGCTTCCCTGCGGCCAAGTGGCTCTGCACCGTGTGCCAGCGGCCTCGCGCTGCCTTCCCCGCGCCGGGCTCGCTGTGGGCAGAGATGCTGCTCCTCAGGCCGTCCTCGCCGAGCCGCTGCTTGTCCCCAGGGCGGCCGTCGCGGTCCCCAGCCAACCCCGCCGCGGCCGATGCCGTCAGCTTGGCCCCTGATAACAGAGAGCCACTGGGCCGGGCCGGCGGCCAGACCCCCCCAGGACAGACAAGGAAGGAAGCCAGACGGATGGACGTAAGAAAAAGAAGGAGCCGTTCGATAGGGAGCAAGGGGGTTACAAGGGAGAGAGCCGGAAAAGGGGGGGACAGACGGACAAGAGACGGACAGACAGACAGAGAGAGAAAGAGAGACATCAGCACTGCAAAAGAAAAGGGGTCCTGGCTTTGGGGGGGGGGGGGGGGGGGTGAGCGGCAGAACCATCCAACGTACAGGGGCAAGGGGAGGGCTCGGGGTGAGGGTCCCGCTCGCCGGCAGCCCAACCCCGGGGCGGGGGGGGACCCGTCCCCACCACCGAGGGGGTGCCCCCCAACGCGCAACCCCATCCTGTGCCGCCGTGGAGAGGACGGGGGGGACCCAGCGGGAAGGAAGGGGTTGCTCGTCTCCATGGGGCGGCCCATGGGTGGCGTGCGGGGTAGCCCGGGAGGAGGAGGAGGAAGGAAGGAAGGAAGGAAGGAGGAAGAGGAGGAGGAAGGCGAGTGGGTGCTGCCCATATACTCACTACACGGAGCAAACCAGGTAAGGAGAGACTCACTTGAGGGAAAGGCGCGGGTCACCGTACGGGGCGTAAGGTGAAATGTTTAGTATAAACTCCTTGGGAGGGTAGGAGCTCCATTTCTGCTGCACTGTGTTGTCATTGTTATTCCAAAAGTCTCTGTCTAGATCGCTACAGCGGCCGGAGACCAGGGCGGAGAGAAAAAAGGGAAATACAAGAGAAAGAAGCTGAATTCCTGTGAGAGGGAAGGAAAAGCAGCCCTCAAGCCCCGGAGCGCCGGGATCCTGCGGAGAGACACGGGGCTGCCCACTCCTCGGCCATCAACACGCACACGCTCACAGGAGGAGAGATGGATGGATGGAGGCATGGAGCAGGGAAGAGCTGTGGAGAGACAGGGAGCGGGCGGCTCCATTGGCTGGGGGGGGAGAGAAGGATGGTGCGGGGTTAGAGAGGTGCTGGTGAGCGCACTGTGCCCGGCACGTGTCTGCATGTCCTGGGTACATGTGTCTGTGTGTCCTGGTACATGTGTCTGCGTGTCCTGGGTACATGTGTCTGTGTGTCCTGGTACATGTGTCTGCGTGTCCTGGGTACATGTGTCTGTGTGTCCTGGTACATGTGTCTGTGTGTCCTGGGTACATGTGTCTGTGTGTCCTGGTACATGTGTCTGTGTGTCCTGGGTACATGTGTCTGCGTGTCCTCGGTACATGTGTCTGTGTGTCCTCACTACATGTGTCTGTGTGTCCTGGGTACATGTGTCTGTGTGTCCTCGGTACATGTGTCTGCGTGTCCTCGGTACATGTGTCTGTGTGTCCTCGGTACATGTGTCTGCGTGTCCTCGGTACATGTGTCTGTGTGTCCTGGGTACATGTGTCTGTGTGTCCTGGGTACATGTGTCTGTGTGTCCTCGGTACATGTGTCTGTGTGTCCTGGGTACATGTGTCTGTGTGTCCTCACTACATGTGTCTGTGTGTCCTCGGTACATGTGTCTGTGTGTCCTGGTACATTTGTCTGTGTGTCCTGGGTACATGTGTCTGTGTGTCCTGGGTACATGTGTCTGTGTGTCCTGGGTACATGTGTCTGTGTGTCCTGGGTACATGTATCTGTGTGTCCTCACTACATGTGTCTGTGTGTCCTGGGTACATGTGTCTGTGTGTCCTGGGTACATGTGTCTGCATGTCCTGGGTACATGTGTCTGTGTGTCCTGGGTACATGTGTCTGCATGTCCTGGGTGCATGTGTCTGTGTGTCCTGGTACATGTGTCTGTGTGTCCTGGGTACATGTATCTGCATGTCCTGGGTACATGTGTCTGTGTGTCCTGGGTACATGTGTCTGTGTGTCCTGGTACATGTGTCTGTGTGTCCTCGGTACATGTGTCTGTGTGTCCTGGGTACATGTGTCTGTGTGTCCTCGGTACATGTGTCTGTGTGTCCTGGGTACATGTGTCTGTGTGTCCTCACTACATGTGTCTGTGTGTCCTGGGTACATGTATCTGTGTGTCCTCACTACATGTGTCTGCGTGTCCTCGGTACATGTGTCTGTGTGTCCTCGGTACATGTGTCTGTGTGTCCTGGTACATGTGTCTGTGTGTCCTGGGTACATGTGTCTGCGTGTACTCAGTACATGTGTCTGTGTGTCCTCACTACATGTGTCTGTGTGTCCTGGGTACATGTGTCTGTGTGTCCTCACTACATGTGTCTGTGTGTCCTGGGTACATGTGTCTGTGTGTCCTGGTACATGTGTCTGTGTGTCCTGGGTACATGTGTCTGTGTGTCCTGGGTACATGTGTCTGTGTGTCCTGGTACATGTGTCTGTGTGTCCTGGTACATGTGTCTGTGTGTCCTGGTACATGTGTCTGTGTGTCCTCACTACATGTGTCTGCATGTCCTGGGTACATGTGTCTGCGTGTCCTCGGTACATGTGTCTGTGTGTCCTCGGTACATGTGTCTGTGTGTCCTGGTACATTTGTCTGTGTGTCCTGGTACATGTGTCTGTGTGTCCTGGGTACATGTGTCTGTGTGTCCTGGTACATGTGTCTGTGTGTCCTGGGTACATGTGTCTGTGTGTCCTGGTACATGTGTCTGTGTGTCCTCGGTACATGTGTCTGTGTGTCCTGGGTACATGTGTCTGTGTGTCCTCGGTACATGTGTCTGTGTGTCCTGGGTACATGTGTCTGTGTGTCCTCACTACATGTGTCTGTGTGTCCTGGGTACATGTATCTGTGTGTCCTCACTACATGTGTCTGCGTGTCCTCGGTACATGTGTCTGTGTGTCCTCGGTACATGTGTCTGTGTGTCCTGGTACATGTGTCTGTGTGTCCTGGGTACATGTGTCTGCGTGTACTCAGTACATGTGTCTGTGTGTCCTCACTACATGTGTCTGTGTGTCCTGGGTACATGTGTCTGTGTGTCCTCACTACATGTGTCTGTGTGTCCTGGGTACATGTGTCTGTGTGTCCTGGTACATGTGTCTGTGTGTCCTGGGTACATGTGTCTGTGTGTCCTGGGTACATGTGTCTGTGTGTCCTGGTACATGTGTCTGTGTGTCCTGGTACATGTGTCTGTGTGTCCTGGTACATGTGTCTGTGTGTCCTCACTACATGTGTCTGCATGTCCTGGGTACATGTGTCTGCGTGTCCTCGGTACATGTGTCTGTGTGTCCTCGGTACATGTGTCTGTGTGTCCTGGTACATTTGTCTGTGTGTCCTGGTACATGTGTCTGTGTGTCCTGGGTACATGTGTCTGTGTGTCCTGGTACATGTGTCTGTGTGTCCTGGGTACATGTGTCTGTGTGTCCTCACTACATGTGTCTGTGTGCCCTCGGTACATGTGTCTGTGTGTCCTGGTACATTTGTCTGTGTGTCCTGGGTACATGTGTCTGTGTGTCCTCACTACATGTGTCTGTGTGCCCTCGGTACATGTGTCTGTGTGTCCTGGTACATGTGTCTGTGTGTCCTGGGTACATGTGTCTGTGTGTCCTGGGTACGTGTGTCTGCATGTCCTGGGTACATGTGTCTGCGTGTCCTGGTACATGTGTCTGTGTGTCCTGGTACATGTGTCTGTGTGTCCTCGGTACATGTGTCTGTGTGTCCTGGGTACATGTGTCTGTGTGTCCTGGTACATGTGTCTGTGTGTCCTGGGTACATGTGTCTGCATGTCCTGGGTACATGTGTCTGTGTGTCCTGGGTACATGTGTCTGCCTGTCCTGGGTACATGTGTCTGTGTGTCCTGGGTACATGTGTCTGTGTGTCCTGGGTACATATGTCTGCGTGTCCTCGGTACATGTGTCTGTGTGTCCTGGGTACATGTGTCTGCGTGTCCTCACTACATGTGTCTGTGTGTCCTCACTACATGTGTCTGTGTGTCCTGGGTACATGTGTCTGTGTGTCCTCGGTACATGTGTCTGTGTGTCCTCACTACATGTGTCTGCATGTCCTGGGTGCATGTGTCTGTGTGTCCTCACTACATGTGTCTGCGTGTCCTGGGTACATGTGTCTGTGTGTCCTTGGTACATGTGTCTGTGTGTCCTCACTACACGTGTCTGTGTGTCCTCACTACATGTGTCTGTGTGTCCTGGGTACATGTATCTGTGTGTCCTCACTACATGTGTCTGTGTGTCCTGGGTACATGTATCTGTGTGTCCTCACTACATGTGTCTGTGTGTCCTGGGTACATGTGTCTGTGTGTCCTCACTACATGTGTCTGTGTCCTGGGTACATGTGTCTGCGTGTCCTGGGTACATGTGTCTGCATGTCCTGGGTACATGTGTTTGTGTGTCCTCACTACATGTGTCTGTGTGTCCTCACTACATGTGTCTGTGTGTCCTCGGTACATGTGTCTGCGTGTCCTGGTACATGCGTCTGCGTGTCCTGGGTACATGTGTCTGTGTGTCCTGGGTAAATGTGTCTGCGTGTCCTGGGTACATGTGTCTATAGGTCCTCGTCATGTGTGTCTATGTGTTCTCATCACGTGTCTGTGTGTCTCCATCACATGTCTGCCTGTCCTTGGTACATGTGTCTAATGTGTCCTTGTCATGCGTGTCTATGTGTTCTCATCACATGTGTCTGTGTGTTTCCATCACCCATGTCTGTGTGTCCTTGGTACATGTGTCTATGTGTCCTCGTCATGCATGTCTATGTGTTCTTATCACATGTGTCTGTGTGTCCTCATCATGTGTGTCCGTGTGTCTCCATCACACATATCTGTGTGTCCTTGGTACATGTGTCTTTGTGTCCTTGGTACATGGGTCTATGTGTCCTCATAATGCATGTCTATGTATTCACACCACGTGTCCCCCCATCACACGTGTCTGTGTCCCCCCATCACATGTGTCTGTATGTCCCCATCACACATGTCTGTATGTCCCCATCACACGTGTCTGTGTGTCCCCATCACACGTGTCTGTATGTCCCCATCACACATGTCTGTATGTCCCCATCACACGTGTCTGTGTCCCCATCACACGTGTCTGTGTGTCCCCATCACACGTGTCTGTGTCCCCATCACACATGTCTGTATGTCCCCATCACACGTGTCTGTGTGTCCCCATCACACGTGTCTGTGTCCCCATCACACGTGTCTGTATGTCCCCATCACACGTGTCTGTGTGTCCCCATCACACGTGTCTGCGTGTCCCCATCACACGTGTCTGTGTGTCCCTATCACACATGTCTGTGTGTCCCCATCACATGTGTCTGTATGTCCCCATCACACGTGTCTGTATGTCCCCATCACACGTGTCTGTGTGTCCCCATCACACGTGTCTGCGTGTCCCCATCACACGTGTCTGTGTGTCCCTATCACACATGTCTGTGTCTCCCCATCACACGTGTCTGTGTCCCCATCACACGTGTCTGTGTGTCCTCGCCTCCTCAGCAGCCAGGTCCTGGAAGCTCACACTGCTTGGTTAACCATGCTGCTGCTGCATGCTGGAGACCCCTCCGGGTCCCCTCCTTCCAAACCAGACCATTGCCAGCACCAAGCCTGAACCTCCTGGCTCCAGCAAGTGACCCACAGCATCCCACTATAGCTGTGTGCTGGGGGCTGTGGAGCCCAGCAGCTCCTCACTGATGTGGAGTCTTGCCCAGCCCTCATTGATGTCCAACAGTGGCTCTGGGTTGATGGAACCCATTGGAGCTGGGGATGGAGAGCCCCATGTGCCATGGCATCAGGAGGGGACGTGTGTCCTCCTCCAGTCCCCACTGTGGCCAGAAGCCCCTGACCAGGCTGTGCCCAATGGAGAGGTGCCCAAAGTAGCCCCAGATGCTTGCACCCCAATAACACCCTGGGCAGGCCAGGCCAGCCAAGGGAGGGGGTTTGCAGCAGCCTTACTGCAGTCACAGGCTATTTCCTTCTGGTTGTCCATCCCCGGCTCTTCCCAAGAGCCCTGCAGGATACCAGAGGTGTTCAGGGGGCAGAGCTGGAGCTGGGGTGCTTGGGAGAGCCCCCCTTGGCTGCCAACACCCCACCTCACTCCATATGCAGTGCTATGAGATGCCTCATCTCCCATCACCTTTCCCAACCACATCCCTGTTGCCTGTGGTCTACAGAGCTGTGCCAACCACGCACACAGGGAGGGCTCCATCAGTGTGACCTGGAGCATCCTTAGGGACACCCATACTGAGGTCCCCATGGCTCCATCCGGTCATGCCCATAGCTTGGGGGGTGAACCAAAAGGGGTTCCGGAGGGTGCTGGAGACACCCATCAGCTCTCCCACACCCTTTCTCCCATTAAGACTGGGAGATATGGGAACACTCCTGCCCCATCCAGGGGGATGATCCCATCCTGCAGCAGCCACAGGAGGAGCAGGGACCGGCGATGCTTTGGCAGCACCATGGGCATCACCCATTGCTCAATCTCCCCGGCATCCCTCACTCTGCCAAAGAGCTGGGCATGGACCATCCTGTCTGGGAGCAGAGGGACAGCCACCTCTGACCCCAAAGAGGGACTTTCCTGCTTCCAATGGGGATGGCACCCATCCGGCACGGGATGACGGGGGGGCTGGCATGGGCTGCGGCGGTGCCAGTCCCATGGGCACAGAGGCCCCTCTTCCCCCCTGCCCCTGGAACCTACTTGATGGTTTTCTTCTCACTGCGGCCTCGGCTGGAGTCCGGAGTCCCCACAGTCTCCAGGGAAGTCTTGTAACGCTTACCCTGCGGACAGGAGAGGATTGGGGGGTCAGGGGTGGAAGGGAGACCCCCCTGCAGCAGAGGATGGGGATGGGAGTGACCAGGGCTGCAGCTCCATCACCTGGAGGGGTTGAATCACAGAAGGTTTGGGTTGAAGGGAGCTTTAAGCTCATCCAGCTCCAACCCCAACCCCTTCCACTGGAGCAGCTTGCTCCAAGCCCCTGTGTCCAACCTGCCCTTGAGCACTGCCAGGGATGGGGCAGCCACAGCTTCTCTGGGCACCCTGTGCCAGCGCCTCAGCACCCTCCCAGGGAAGAGCTTCTGCCTAAGAGCTCATCTCAGTCTCCCCTCGGGCAGGTTCAAGCCATTCCCCTTGGCCTGTCCCTACATCCCTTGTCCCAAGCCCCTCTCCAGGTTTCCTTCAGCCCCTTCAGGCACTGGAGCTGCTCTCAGGTCTCCCCTTCAGGATCCTTCTCTTGTCCAGGCTGCCCCAGCCCAGCTCTCTCAGCCTGGCTCCAGAGCAGAGCTGCTCCAGCCCTCCCAGCATCTCCGTGGCCTCCTCTGGCCTCTCTCCAACAGCTCCAGGTCCCTCCTGTGCTGGGGCGAGTTTGATTTCCCCCTTTCCCCTTACAGCTCCCCAGTCGCTGGGCTCCATCTCATCGATCCAGGCAGGAAAACTCCTGATAGCTTCATCCCTTGGTCCATAGGAGCCAACAAAGGCACCAGGGAGCTGCTGACCTGGTGGCCTGGTTTCAGCTGTAACATTTATTCTCATTCCTAGTATCTGGTGCAGTGCTGGGTTTAGTGTGAGAATGATGCTGATAACACACTGATGCTTTAGCTGTTGCTCAGTAGCACTTATCCTGACCAAGGACTGCTTAGTCTCACGCTCAGCCAGTGAGGAAGGCCACAAGAAGCCAGGATGGAGCAGAGACAGCACCCATGACCTACATCCAGAGGGGTATTCCATACCATTCCATACATCATGCCCGGAATAGAAACTGGGGGGAGTCACCCAGAAGGGACTGATCTCTGCTTGGGTCAGGCTGGGTATCAATCAGTGGGTGCTGAGCAATTGTATTGGACATCACTTGCGTTTTTGGTTTCTTTCCTTTCTCCTTTTAGTTTTAGTGTTATTTCCCTTATCATTGTTATTAGCAGCGTTATATTATACTTCAGTTATTAATATCTTCTTATCTCAACCCATGGGATTGATTTGATTCATCCTTTGATTCTCCCCCCCATCCCAGTGTGATGCTGAGTTACCGCCTGGCTCTAAACCACGACCCCCTGTCTCCTGGTCACTGTCCCTAAGGGCACAGGGGAGCAGCAGCACCCTTCCATGGCCCCACCAGGGGGCAATTTTAGCCCTAATGACCCTGAATTAATTGAGTTTCACCTTCTCGAGCGCTAGGGAAGAGCTGAGACATGATAACGGAGCTGGAGCTCGCTCCCACCTGGGGCTTGAAATCAGGGCGCTTTGCTGTGGTCTCCAATGCAGGCTGAGCACAAGCTCCCATCCAGGGAGGGCAGGAGCACAGTCAGTGCCAGTTAGCAAACAGTGAGGAGTGGGATGGGAGCAGCTGCTGGAGCAGGAGGGGGTTGTGGCCTGGGAGCATCCTTCCTGCAGGAGCCAGTGCATGGAGCTGCAGGGGTGTTGGGTCTCCCTGGATGCCTATGGGCCAGTCCTGCTTGGATCTGCAGGGATATCGGACCTCCTTGGATACCCATGAGCTAATTCTGCAGGGATCTGCATGGATACCCAGCCTCCTTCTATGACCATGGGCTGTTTCTGCTGGGATCTACAGGGATCTTGGACCTCCTTGGATGACTATGAGCTAATCCTGCCTGGATCTGCAGGGATGTGGGATCTCCTTGGATCCCCATGGGCTAATCCTGCCTGGATCTGCAGGGATGTGGGATCTCCTTGGATCCCCATGGGCTAATCCTGCCTGGATCTGCAGGGATGTGGGATCTCCTTGGATCCCCATGGGCTAATCCTGCCTGGATCTTCAGGGTAGCCCAACTTTCTTGGATGCCTATGGGCTAACCCTGCCTGGATCTGCAGGGATATTGGACCTCCTTGGATGCCTATGGGCTAATCCCACCTGGATCATCATGGATCTGCAATCTCTTTGGATGCCCATGGGTGAATCCTGGTGGGATCTGCGGGGATGTGGGACCTCCTTGGATGCCCATGGACCATCTTGGAAGGAGCCAGCGCTATGCTGAGCATTGTCCCCAGCCGGGCACAGCCCAGGGCTCATGGGGACACGGCTGCTGGCCCCTGCTCTCCCAGCACAAGCCAACTGGGGCCAGTCACTCAGCGGGTTTGGCCGTGGTTCCCAAGCAGCCATTCCAGCTCCATCGAGGGCCTCTCCATTCCCAGCCTGAACGTCTTCCCGGCCAATTTATCCTTCTTTGTTCCTCTGCCAGCTTCATCCTTCGGTACAACCGGTCCTTCTCCTCCTGCTCCTCAACCCTCCATCACATCCCTCTCTGGGTGGTACCAGCCAGGCTCGCAAGCTCCTTCCCATCCACTCCCCACTGCTCCCACACCCACAGCCAAACCCCATCTCCCATTCCCAAGGGATCTCTGCCTTCCCGCTCGTTATGGCATTGCCAGGGTGGGCATCTCAAAAGCTGCCACCACCGCAGCTCTTCACCCAGATTTGAATCTGATGGTGAAGGAAACATGGCCAAGAACCAGATCCTGGTCCATGGAGAGGAGGAGGAAGGATGGAGAGGAGGAGGAAGCTCTAGCTCAAGCCAAACCCCCCTTTAGCCACAGCGGGGCTTGAAGTGGGGTGCCCTGTGAGTGTTGTAGAGCTGATGTATGGGGCACAGCAATGGCAGAGCTGCCTTATGGCACCCAGCACTGCCAGACACGGGCTGGCCACCTTCCCATGGGGCTCTTCCAGGCAGGAGCGTGCCCAGCAGGACAGGGGCCAGCTTCCTGCTCATCCCAAATATATCTATATCTCTATCTATGTATTTGGAAACTTCCCTTTATGCTGCACAAACAGTTTTGCCCAAACATTAAATTATCCCATCCCCTAAAGAGCACAAGAGAAGCTGCAGCCAGCGCCCGACACAAAGCGCTCTCGGCGTCTTGCCTTTGTCTGCCGGCATCAGTGGGCATCGCCCCCCATCCAGTGGGACCCCCATACCCAGGGCGAGGAGAAGGGGTGTCCCCCCCCCACCCCAGGCCATCATGGGACGCTCACCAGTTTGCGCTGGCACCACTGGCAGATCCCGCAGAGGACGATGGTGACGCTAAGGCTGACGGTGATGATGGCTGAGACGAGGAGGACATCGCGGGAGGGAGCCCCTATGGGGAAGCAAAGCAAAGCCAGAGCTTAGTGGGGGGATAGGGGATGCGGGTGGGCACCCAGGGGTGTCCCCAGTGTGGGCACGCAGCCCCCAAGGGGAGCTGCACAAGAGCAGGGAGGGGGAACACGGGGAATGTGGTCCATGGGCTCCAACCCCCTCAGGAGACACCGGCACCGTGGCCGCATCCATGGGCTCCAGGTTCCCAATGGTGTGCGTGCAGTGGGGCAGAGCTCCAGGAGCTCAGGTTGGAGCAGAGCAAAGGCTTTAATCCCTGCTGGCCCCCCCCTGGCAGCACCAGTGTGTCCAGTAAAGGTCACAGCATCACACGTGCCTCCCGCAGCACCGCGGCTCTTGTGTTGATTCCTCTTCCCCTTCACAATCACCGTCTCTTCTCCTTGCCCTCTCTCTTCCCCTTTCCTCTTTCTCTTCCTAATGCTCATCCCTTCCCCATCCTTTCACCTCCATCCTCTTCCCATTTTCCTTCCTTTTCCCCACCTCTTCTTCCCTTTCCCCTTTCCCACCCCCTTCTCCTTCCTAATCACCAACTCTTCCATTTGCCCATCCCTTCCCTATTTCCTTTCCCCTTTCCATTCCTCTTTCCCTTCCTTATGTCCATCCCTTCCCCATCCCCATCCCTTCACCTTCTCAATCTTCTTCCCCACCCTTCCCCTCCTCTTTTCCCCTCTCTCCTTTCCCTTTCTCTGCTCCTTCCCCTTCCTAATGATGAATGTTTCCCCTTGCCCATCCCTTTACCTTTCCTTTTCCTCTTTGCCTTCCTAACGCTCATCCCTTCCCCATCCAAATCCCCATCCTTTTACCTCCTTCATCCTCTTCCCCTTTTCCTTCCCATTCCTCACCTCTTTCCCTTTCCCATCCCCTCCAGACAAGCCATCCCCACTTTCCTTGCAGCACCCATTCCCTTTCCATCAGAGCCCCGCAGCCACCCCACCAAGGGGGTTCCCTCTTTGGATCAACCAAACCCCATAGATTCACCCCAAACTGTGCACTGCGGGCACTTGGCAGGGGCAGGAGCTGCTGCCTGACCCAGCCTGGCCTTGGGGCCACCCTTGAGGACCCCAAAAGTGGGGATGGATCCTTCTGCTGCGCCAGCATCACCCCCTTTGAGTGCTGTGGGTGGGTACGGGTTAATGCAGGTATCTCCCATCCACCCTGTCCTGCACCCAACCACCCCCACTACTGGGTGCCCCCATCATCATGCTGCCAGCAAGGGGGGTGGCCCTGGCACCCTAAGAGGATGAACATGGACCTAAGGTGCCTTGGGGGGGGGGGGGGGGTCCAGCGCATCCCCCATCCCACCATAGCCCTTTTCCCATGCAAGACCCCCTGTATGGCATCCCCCCGTGCAGCTCAGCATCCCGGGATGGGGAAGCCCATTGCTCGAGCGGTGGGAAGCGGTGCTACCCTCTAAATATTAAACACTGATTGTTAATAATTAATTCACCCGCAGCCCTTGTTATTGTAATGAGATTTGCCAACGGCTCAGAGGCTGCCGTGAGTCAGAGCAGCCGCGATCGGGGCTCAGGCATCCCCTGGGCACGTGGTGGGGTCCTGCCTCTATTCCATAGGGAGCAAAGGGGATGGAGGCAATAAAGGGGATGGAGCTTTATAACAGCACCTTCAGCAGCCACACGGGTGCTGCTGAGTGGGGTGAAGGGGTTAGAGGGCGGTGAATGGGCTTGGGGGTCCTGGACCACTCCAGCGCTCCATCACTGGTACACGTGCTCCCTGCATCCAAACCCAGCGCGGGGCCCCTCCATCCCTCCTGGGTCACGAGGAGCCTGTGTATAAAGCTCGCTTAGCAACTGTTGCCTAGGAGGGAATTTGGGACCAGCCCTTAATTTCAAACATTTATAAAGCCCAGCTACATCAGCTGCTTGGGGAGGGGGTAAAGCAGCCATTGGGGTACAGCCCCCCCCCCCCCCCCAGGATACTTGGGTCGTGGTGGTGAGAGAACCCAAGCAGTGCAGCCCATGGGCTAAATGGGCAGCCTGGTGTGGTTAAGATTTAGGGTGAGCCCCCCTCTGACACCAAATGTGTCTCCCCACAGCCCCGATGCCTGCTTGGGGACAATGTGGTATGTGGAGAGCAGGGTGACCTGCTTGGCTGCTGTGCAAGAGGTGAGAGATGTAGGGTCAAGCTCATCCTCAATTTAATCAGGCATGAGGGAAATTGTGGAATCATAGAACCATGGAATGGTTTGGGATGAGGGGAGCTTAAAGCTCATCCAGTTCCAATGTCCATCAGTCAGGGGCACCTTCCACTGGAGCAGCTTGCTCCAAGCCCCTGTGGCCTTGAACACTGCCAGGGATGGGGCAGCCACAGCTTCTCTGGGCACCCTGTGCCAGCGCCTCAGCACCCTCACAGGGAACAACATCTGCCTTACATCAAAGAGGAAAGGACAGAGGTGCTGCCATGGTGCAAAGGAGGGATTACCCTGCTTGGGAGGGAGAAATCCAGGACCAAGGGGCTTGGGGAGGGATGCTCGTGCTGGTTCCTATGCTGGTACCTGCCCCCGGCCTAAACTGAGTTGTCACCACAGCCCCAAGCCTGGCAGCACCCAGTGAACCTGATGATGGGGACCTGCCCGGTGGGCTCCACGGCCCCAGTGACCTCCAGGTTCATCCACACTGGTCCCTATGTATGGAGGCTCCTACCCCTCCCCAGCAGGGAAACAGGTCCCTGTGCTGGCCCTGTCCCCAGCGCTGGGGGACAGATGCTGACCCCCAGGCTCTGCTGCCCTCAGCACCATTGAAAGGACTCATTTTCCAGGCGATTAACACTGGTTCATTAGAGAAGCTGAGTGGAGCAGAGCTCCTGGTTTGGCCCCAGCCTTGGGGGCTGGCCTGGTACGCTGCATGGGGTCCCCATGCTAGCTCTGTGCCTGGGATGCTTGGCATAAGGATGCCATGGGGCGGGTGGCTGTGGGACCTCAGCTCTGTGCACTGGAGGGTCCACAGCCTTGTTCTGGGGTCCCTGCATCCCACCCCCATCACACCCCCCCTTCACTGATCCTGCCCCATCCCAAAAGAGGAGCTGCTCCATGAGCCAGAGACCCCACATCCTCCCCCTTGGAGGACATCAAGGTCTCCCCAGGCTGGCAGTGGAGGCTGGGGAAGGAGCCAGCACAGCCCTGCAGCTCTGTCATCAGTATTCAATGCCACTTGACGGGCTATAATTCCACTTTTACAGCCGGTTATTGATGAGGGGATTACCTGCCTCGTTAGATCCACAGCTCTGCAGCGTGGGGTTTGTGTGGTGCTGCCACAGGGACAGGGCTCCTGCACCTGGAAACAGCATCCCTGCACACAGGGAGAGGGTCTGCATGGACAAAGTGCCCCTCAGCATGGAGGACCCATGCCCTTGGACGAGCAGGACACCCCGCAGCACCCATAGGAGTGCGTTGGGAGATGAGGCTGGTGGTGGCATCGATGGCATCGTGCCACCGGTGCTTATCCCCCCTAAGCCGCCGCTCCTGCAGGCGTGGAATTAGCTGCCTCCGGAGCACGGCCGAGCTGTGGCCTTTGTGGCTGAGGAGAAAACACTTCAAAACCTGACCTCAGCGCAAGGGAGAGGTGCGGAAATCCGAGAGGGATTTGCATGTCCTTGTGGGGTTTGGGGCATCTCGTGGCTTTGTGCAGCCCGCTGGCTTTGCATCACAGGGGTTTTGAGCATCTTGGTAGCCCTGTGTACACTGAGCTCTCAGGGATGGGCATCCCTCAAGTCCAGCACAGTGAGACCTTGGTGCTCAGTTCCCCCTGATTCCCTTCCCCATGGCATGGATGCTGTATCCCTGGGTCCATCCCTGCGCTCAGACTCAATCAACAGCTCCCCCATCGCTCCCAGTTCCTCACCATGGACCTGCACCAAAGGCCATGGTCCTGGAGCAGCACTTCCCACCATGGCATGTGGCAGCACTGGGAGGACAAAGCACTTGTGAGGGGCATCCAGCTCAAAAGGCACTTGGATGGGATAAAGAGGCTGGAAATCTCTTCCACGGAGTGGCAAATGGCCAAGGGCTTTGGATGAGTGGTGGGCACAAGCTGCCAGCATCTGCCAGCACCATCTCTGAGACTGACCTCTCCATAGTGAGGATGGTGCTGGCCATGCTCTCAGGGCCATATTGTTGGGTGCAGAGCCCAAAATACCTGTGTTGAGCATGGCATCCCCCTGCTGCCGCTCGGTATCCCCATCTCCCCGAGCATCCTCCCCTCCTCTTTCCATCTCCATCAAAACCCCATCAATACCCAGTACCCGGAGGCAGAAATCAAAGCGGACGGACCCCCCTCCAGCCCCAGCCACTCTTTGGAAGTGCAGATCAAAGCTCATCCCCACAGCCAGCACGTCAGAGCTCCATGCAGAGACACGGCACCGCGTGCCAGCCCGCCTGCCGCCGCCACCACCGAGCGTGCCAGCCCGCGCCGGCAGCGGAAACACGTGTGTGCATGGAGAGGGAATGGGAGAAGGTGCCAAGGGAGCGGTGCAATCCCACCACATCGTCATGCTGCGAGCCGTGGAGCTGGGGTGGGATGTGACGTGGAGCACAAGTTGGGACGATGGTGCTGAGGAAGGGATGGAGCGGGGCTGGAGCAGCTCCCGTATGGAGCCAGGCTGGGAACATTGGGGTTGTTCAGCCTGGAGAAGAGAAGCTGCGTGGAGAGCTCAGAGCAGTGTCTGAAGGGGGCTACAAGGATGCTGGAGAGGGACTCTTCATTAGGGACTGGAGCGATAGGACAAGGGGTGATGGGTTCAGACTGAAACAGGGGGCATCCGGCTTGGATGTAAGGAAGGAATTCTTCACTATGAGGGCGCTGAGGCGCTGGCACAGGGTGCCCAGAGAAGCTGTGGCTGCCCCATCCGTGGCAGTGTTCAAGGCCAGGTTGGACACAGGGGCTTGGAGCAAGCTGCTCCGGTGGAAGGGGTCCCTGCCCGTGGCAGGGGTTGGAGCTGGATGAGCTTGAAGCTCCCTTCCAACCCATT